GTCACTCGTTTTCGTGGCTCCGTGGATCTCCCCTGACTCCATGTCACCCGTTTTCGTGGAGCCCGTTTTGTACGCGGTTAACGGATCGTCCGATCGACCGTTGGTGGCGCGAACAGAAGGCACTTCGCTTGGTGCCTCGTTTCTCCCCTCGTCACCAGTGGTCGAGGCGGAGGACTGAGAAAACGGGACCTGTACGGGCGATTTCCGCCCCGCTTCCAAAGGGGAGGAGGTGACAAAAAACGGAGGTGGAGGTGAGGAGGGGGGAACCGCGGGTACCACCCGCGGATAAACCGATGGGGCTGCGGTGTTTGGGACAGATGTTGGGACATGAGGCGGAACTGCTGCGGGGGGAGGATTGAGGTCGTCGTCAATCTCGGGAGCCAACAGATCCGTCGTGGGGACGGGCGGGAACACGGGCGCAGGTCCATCGAGACGAGGCTCCGCCATTTTCGTGGCCTTCCAACCATCCAGCGAGAGATTTTTGTGGAAGACTGCTTCCACGGTCGTGACGACACGATTTGCCACAAGATCGAGCACTTCACAGCCTTTGCTCACGGGCGAAACTCCAAGTTGAACTCCTTACCGAGCCTTCGGTTCCAGTTTGCCACCGCGCTGATGCTCCGGCACCATAAACTGCACCATGCAGCCCCAAACACGAGCAAGTGTCAGATCGGGCTTGTCCGCGAAAACGAGTTCGTGTGGTGTGGTTCCGGGAGGGAGAGAAGCGCGTTCGAGGCAGTTGCGAATCCAAACAGCTTGCCGCAGTGCCAAGTGTCACCAGTGATGCTCCACGCCCATGTGCAGATGCATTGTGCGCACCGATTCCACAACCGTGCGCATATCGCAATCAGCCATCCCATTCTGTTGTAGGGTGTAGGGGCATGCGAGATCCTGAATGATGCCGCAATTGTCCAGGAACTCCCCTCCACGATCTGAACGAAGCGTTTTCACCTTCGCGTTGCACTGGCGTTCCACCATCAGCAGCCATTTTCGGAACCGCTTCAGAGCGTCACTCTTCTGCACGAGCGGGTGTGTCCACACAAAAAGTGTCTTTCGATCTTTGAGGAGAAGGAAGTATCTGTTTCCGTCCTTCGCCGCGACGCGAAATGGCCCGCAAATGTCCACGTCAACAACGTCCAAGACGTTCGCTGCTTCCTTGCCTTCTTTGGGGAACGTGTGGCGAACGAGTTTGCCTCTGACGCAGGAGACGCACGGTAGGTCCGCTCCGCTCGATGGATTGATTTCCAAGCCCGTTGCTGCTCCGTGCGCGGCTGTTTTCTTGATCGTGTCGATCCCCACGTCGGCCAAGCGAGCGTGCCATTTATCCACGGAATCGCGGATAGATGAAACAATTGCCCGTAGCGCAACAGTCTCCACGGGGTCCGAACTTCGTGGCACGAACGGACGAAGGGTTGTGCAGAGAACCCGTCCTATGTAGCGCGCGCGCGAAAATGGTGCCGTTCGTGGAGAGGAGCACGGTGTCGTCATCCACGTCCTCCATCTTCACCCCGCAGTCCTTCAGCTGACAGTCGAAAGAAGGTTTGCCTGCACTCCGGGGACGTAAAGCACGTCTGAAACGAGGATCCGCTTACCTCCCTCTCCTTCGAGAGCGACGGTTCCACGGCCACGAACAAGTTGAACGGCTCCGTTGAATCCGTGCACGTGGCTCACGCCGCCTCCGTCCTGCATGCCCATGAATGTATTACGGTCCCACATCAAGTGATGCGAGCAGCCACTATCCAGCAGCACGACTGATGGGATTTGCCTGCACAGCTGCAGCAACCGCTTGAAGATCTTCACCCGCCTCAGGCGCCAGCGAAATTGGTGTCTCCGTTGATGGTGAAGCACACGCGATCGTCCCCACCATCGCACACGAAGCTTGGTTCGTGCCATTCGTGTTCGTGGTCGTCGTCGCGTTTGCACTCGCGTTCGCGTTGCCACTACCAGCAGAATTCACATGCTGTTGTCCACGGGCATTGTTTGCCGGATGATTCGGGGAGTCGTTGTGCTGGTTTTCGTGTCGAGATTGTCCTGCATTCGCTCGTTCGCGTGGGCCCTCGTGCTCATTGCCCGAATCACCACCAGCACGACCGGGGCACTGATAGGAGAGATGCTCGAGGTCGCCACAGACGAAGTAGTAGCGCTTGCATTGGCCACGGCCGCGATCTTCCTTCTTGCTCGACTTCCCGCGACTGTCCTCATTTTTGCTTCCCTTTCCACCTCCACGAAATTTGCCCTGCTGCTGCTGCTTCTATTGTCCGTGCTGCTGCTTCCCCTGGTGCTCTTGACCCCCCTTTTGCAATGGTGCCACGAAATTCGCGTGCGGAAGCAACTGCTCCTTACGTTTTTCGGACTCGAGCGTAAACTCCTCCTCGATGATGTAGCTGGAGAGCGAATCCTCGTCAAGTTCTTCGCGCACGCCTGGGAGCTTCACCATTCGCCGCAGCAGATTGTAGCGTTCGGGGAGGCCTTTGATCACGTGCGTGATGTACGAGGACATCACGTACTCCACGCCCGCCATTCGCAGGTCCGCAAGAATTTGCTGAGCACGGTTGCAGTAGCTTGTGGCGCTTTTGTGCTCCCCCATTTCGAGGTTTGTCAGGCGCTGCTCTAGTTGCCCGAGGTACAAGTCGTCCGTAGCCTTGTACGTCTTCATGATGAACTGCCACACTTGGAATCCCGCGTCCTCGTGCATACGACACGGCTTCAGGGCGACTTGAACAACTGGAGAGCAGCACCGCAAAATCACCATGAACGTCAGCAGTTGTGCGGAGTGGAACTGAGAGATGCGCTCGTAGTCGTCGTCTGGCGGAGGTACCACGGAGCCATCCACGAATTTCTTTAGTTGCGCGATTTCGAGCTGCGGCTCAATCAATTCTACCCACGTAGTCAAGTCGTGGCGTTCTTCAAGCAGTTTCGGAACCGCGATTTTGTCCGGTGAGAACTTGAAGTAGCCATATTCGGGGGCGATGCCCATGTCCTGAGAGGTCGAAGGCAGAGACGTCATCGCGCGTCCGTTCATACTTCGACGAGCAGAGATTCGTGACCCATCCGCACCACCGCGTGCACTTCCAGCAGCGGCCGCTCGCAGCACCTGCGCTTGCGTTCCTCTGACACTTGTGACGTTGGCCCGCACGGGCCCCCGTACAAGTCTACGTATTGCCCTTTCGCCTCCATTCCCAAGATTCACGTCATTGTCTTCAGCACGAAGAGCGGCAGACCCGTTGTCCGCTTCAGCCCGAGGAGGTGGATGATCACGCGCTCACCGTTCATGGAGTCCAAGAATCATTAGCTCCAAGTCCTCCACGCTGATTCCAGCATCGCTGAATCGCTCCCGCATAGCAGCCTCCTGGGCCTCCAGGGTATCCATGGCTTCCGAAGCGACGCCGTCGTCAGACATACGGAGCCTTTCGTGACTACAAGCACTGGTCTGAAAACTTCGTGGTCTACTCGGCTATCTGAAGGTTTCGCACATCGTTCCACGCTCACTGCACCATGCGGAGATTTCTAGTTTTCGAGATGGCGGGGCACGAAAACGTGGGCACGTGAATCTCGTCACGAAATGTGCACTAGGAATTGAGGCACGAAATTGTGTTGGCTTGCCTTGTAGAAATTCTCTAAGTGTTAAGAGAAAGCTTGAACATAACTTCTCTATAGAAAAGAGAATAATAGAGTACAATGGGAAGGACCAGAACCATATCGGAACGAAGCGTCGATAGTCGCGAACGTTCACGCAAAACGTTCAGACAACTACTCTAGCATGTGCATTGCCAAGTCAGCAACGGCATGTGAAATTAACATGCCAGGTAAATTTCTACATAACTAGGAGTAGTTGTTCATGTTTCTGCAACATTTGCAGTTACACATGCTTCGCTTGTGCAATATAGTAATGTTTTCCGATTCTGTCCGTTTCTGCTTTGCGGGTCCATGTCGGCTACGGAGTGCATTGCGTGAATTTTTCCTCCCGAAGTCAGGACTTGGTTCAATTTAGCCGCGTACAGCTTTTCCGCGCCTTCTCCCGTTTCGTAACCCGCGGGAAATCACGCAACGGTGATCCAACGCGAAACCTCCCAGGGGCGCGAAAACTTCGCGCCAGCACAAACGCGGAGTTTCGATCCCGCGCAGGCGCGAACCCAGAATGCAGTGCAATCCTTTTCGCGGTCGCGGGACGCGCTCTACAGCGCGAACACATTTCGCTCGAAGCCCTCAAGCGCGAATACAGGCTCGTGCAGGGCCTTTCGCGTCAACAAAGCGAGTGTCGCTTTGTTGAAGCGAGTGTCGCGAGTGGTAGCGGTTTTACTGCTGGGTGCTGCTGGTCGGAACAGTAGTGTACGCGCTGAGCAGGGTCGCGAAGTAAAAAAGATGAGTTTTCCTTACACCATGGGTCATAGGACAGCAAAACTTTTCCTGGGGGTGATGATTGAGCCCCTGAGGTGATTGAGCACACACAAGGAATGTGAGGTCGTCGCCTAGCTTACATCTAGATTGGAGTGGAATGTGGGTCATAGCTTGCTTCGCTCCCTAGTTCATGCAACATCTACGGAAAGCCATGGAACGTGAAATGGGGTAGATGCCATAGATCTTGGATGTTCTTGAGGATGTACAATTTCTGAAGACAACTGAAGCGCTTGACGTGTGGATGATCAATACACTTTATGCCGCTGCAAGGTTGAACAAACAGATTGGGCCTTGTTTTCCATAAACGATGCGGATACAAGAGCAAAGAAAAATATAAAAAGTCGAATGTGTCCCACCCGTATGATAGCCACCCCAGAAACATGAATCAAAATTACAGACCTTCCCAAACAGAAACGCTGCGAGGACATATCTCAAACTAATCGACCCTCTTATTAGAAAGCCTCCGTGCGGCTCGACGATCAGGCCTTCATCATCAGCGTTGCGCTGCAAATTCGCCATTCCAGAACCCAAGCACCATTCCAGAAACCAGATGCGTTTCCATCTCAAATCCTCGGCCATTCCAACGTTGCCACCTCGAATCCTTAAAAATTGAGACCTTTCCCCCTAGCTTCCTTGTCCGCGTTATCCGCGTTCCCCTTGGACGCGTCCGCGCGCGACTTCCTCATCGCCACGACGCGCTCCTGCGCCGCGCGCGCATTGACCTTAGGCGCCAGCGCCAACTTGGCGTCCCGCTGCGCCTTCACCTTCGCATTGTAATTCTGCCCCGCCGTTTTCACCGCGGTATCCAAGTTCTTCGTCTTTCCGACCGCCTTTGTGAAAAACACGTTCGAATCGGCCTCGTCCTTCTCCGCCTTTTCTTTCACCGCCTTCTGTACGTCGGCGGCGCCGTGAGTATCGCTCTTATCCTTCTTAACCTTCTCGCTTTCCGTCTCCCGCTCTGACACACGCTGGACGGCGCGGTCGGCTTGCTTCTTCACTGCGCCAAGGATCCGATCCGCCTGGAGCTTGACATTGTACAGTTCCGTCTGAAGCGCCTTCGCCTCCGGGGTTTGGAGCCGCGCAGCTGACCGAGCCGCGGCGACAGCGTCGTTGTAAGCTTCCGTCGCTATTTTCTGCTGCTCAGTGAGCACGACGGCGGTGGTGTTTTGGCGGGCGATGGCGTCGAGAACGTCCTTGGCGGCTTCGCTCTCCTCGAAAATGGCCTCTTCGGCCTGCGACTCGAGATCGTCAAAGTACGAACGCTCGTCGCGCGAAACCTGCTTCGCCTGAATCAGCGCCTGACGCGCCGTTTCCTGCTCCACTTTTGCCGCCTCGAGCTCAGCGCGCTTGCTGTTGAGCTCCGTCGTTGCGGCGGTGACTTCCGCGTCCGCAGCCGCCGCCTTTTGTGCCAAAGGCGCTTCCTCCGCGAGCCGCTGCTGGAGAAGAGCATTAGCGGCGTCGAGATCTGCTTGTGCGGCGTCCGCGATTCCGCGAAGCTGCTTGGCTTTGGTCACTAGGTACGGCTCAGCTGCGGATACGACGGTTGCGGAAATGGATCCCACGATAAAGAGTATCGCGACCGCCCGAAGAGCGAACCCCATGATTCCACTCGGACCGGCTGTCGAGGCGCCTCGGGAATTAGTCCGATGTGTGCCTCTCTGAGACGACTGCGTCACTTGTAGTAGTACCAACTTGTCAAGTTGTACTCGCGACGCTAGGCGAGGAGCAAAGCAGAGGCAGGCGTGCGAGGCGTGTGGGGAGTGTGAGTTGTGAGTGGTAAATACCAGATTAACTTGTAAATACTTGACGGATGGAGATGACGGTGATGAAGCTTCTTGTTCAATCCGATTTTGTATAATGATGGCCGAGGCACCGTGAACTTATTTGTCTGAATGCTGCAGATAGGTTGGGGTGAGATAGGTGTCCTAGGCTCGCCCCCCTGTATAAGCAAATGGGAAGCTTTGGCAGCGCGATTGATAACTGCTCATGCACCAATTTCCACTAGGATTCCACATGTGAGCAATGGCTTGATGAGTCGCGGCGCGCATGTGGCCTGAGCGCCTCGGTCGTCGCGATTCGGCTTCATCCTGGACCAAACTGCGGATTTGGGGCCCACTACGTGTCTGCAAGTACGCATTTGCCGGTTTGATGATAAGGGGTCCGATTTCGTGGATGGACTGATACTGCTTTGCTGGCATCCACAGGTGGTTGGGCTGTTATCCACGATCAGCCACATCGGAACCCGTCTTGTCGTTCGAGTCGCAACTGTTCGCATGTTGTGCCATATGGAGCCCTCATGCAACAAATTCTCACAGTCCCCGATACTCGTTAGCTTTCACCATTTTACAATGTCGAAGGTTGGGGGAGCCATTATTTCTTTGGGGATTTATCAAGCTAGAGTGGTATGGTCTAAGAAGCATAGTGTTGTGGCTAATATAGAGTGGTAGAAATGCAGGCGTGGCTGGAAAAAATGATACAAATGAAGGGCTATGCAACATTATAAGAGGCTTGGCGGGAATGTTCGGTTGGCCACAGACAAAGACGAAATAAGAGCCAAGCAAAGTGAGGTATAAGCTGCTAAGGAATTGAACAGGTTGCACATTGCACGAACTTTTGTTTCCTGCCAGTTTCAGAGTGAAAGCACCAAGTGCTTTGAATAATTCTCAGGAAAACAACCAATCATGGCAGGCCATGCATTCCCATAATTCTCAACCCATCATGCTACAAACACAACTCAACTGAAAACTGTTTCTGAATGCTCTATACACCTTCTTGATGCTCTAAGCGTACTCAATCCTTAGCTTCAACCTTCCCAGACCCAACTTCCTTCCAGTTCGTAGAAAGCACTGTACCCTTGGACTCCACCTGTAACAGGGGTTCATGAATCATGAGAGAAAAGCGGCACGGGAGGGAGGGTTGAAGGGGGGCGGGGGGGCGAGAGGTGGGGGCCGGTGGTGGTTTTTGGGGGGGGGGGGGGGGGGGGGGGGGGGGGGGGGATGAAAAAAAAACAAGGAAATAGGTGAATAAGGGTTGGTGGGTTGGGGGGTTGCGGTAAAAAGGGAAAGAAGGTGAAAATAGGGTTGATGGGTTAAGTCGGTGAGTTATTCATGGCACGGTGTGTTGAAATGAGACACCCGTCCGCGTAGATGTCTTGAGACGAGATTAAAGCCGTCAACATCCAGAAAGGGGGGAAAATACCGGGCAAGCAGAACTCACGAAAGACTTGTTCACAGAACGGCGTGTCTCCTCGTCTGCCCCCGCGTAGACGTCTTCAAGTAAGGTTGAAGTCCCTCAAAATCCAGAAAGGGGTGGGGTGAGAGTAGGGGGCAAAGGGTACTCACGAAAGACTTGTTCATGGCACGGCGTGTCTCCTCGTCTGCCCCTGCGTAGATGTCCTGAAAGAGCTTGTTCAGCGCTGCATCTCCCTCCAACTTCTCATCCTTCTCCTGGCAGTTGAGCAAGGGCAAGGAAACAGCGGGCCGATTCAAACACATATAGAGCAGTTTCAGGCTTGTTAAGGTCAAATCAGGTCTCCTCGTCCGCCCCTGCGTAGGTGTATTGAAAGAGCTTGTTCAGCGCTGCATCTCCCTCCAGCTTCTCATCCTTCTCCTGGTGATTGAGATGTGCAGAGACAGCGTGAAAGGAACGACAAACACTTTGAAGAGCAGAAGAAACAGAAAGCGCAAACACTTGCTGCTTGCTGACATGAATGCCGCTTGTTATTTGTACGTTAACTTAACCAACCTCCACCTTAACTCCCGCCTCCACCTGATCCCAGTTCACATGCTGCTTACCTGCTGCACCGACTGTCATTGACCTGCATTGACCTGCACTGACCTGCGTCGACTTGCCTTGACTTGCGCTAAATTAAGCAGCGCAGCTTACCTCTGCCTTTGCCTAAGCATCCAGCTAATACTGAATCACATGCTGCTTACCTGCGTTGACCTGTGTTGACCTGCGTTGACTCGACCTTCCTCTGCCTTGACTTCCACCTCCAGCTGGTCACGTGGTGCTTGCCCTTTGTTGACCTGCATTGACTTGTGTTGACTCAGCTTACCTCTGCCTTCACCTCTGCCTCAAGCTGGTCCCAGTTCACATGCTGCTTGCGGGACGATGGGTACATGTGCTTCAGCTTCTCCGCGGTTTCTGGTGGGGAAAAAGGGGGAAATGGGGAGGCGGAGGGCAGGTGGGACGGGGGAAAAAGGGGGAGACCAAGAGACAGGTTACTCTATGGGATGATGGGTACATGTGCTTCAGCTTCTCCGCGGTTTCTAGTGGGGAGAAAGGGGGCGTGGGGAAACGGGCAAAGACAGGGAAATGGGTCACAAGTCCCTTTGTCCGAGTCAAATCCTCCCCCCACGTCCCTCTCCCACGCCCACAACCCTCATCCCACCCCACCCCACCTCACCCCACCCCACCCCACCCCACCCTACCCCACTTCACCCCACCCCGCACCACCGCACACCACTCACCATCGGACACGTTGACAGGCTACACCACAGCCGGTCGTCTGGTGGCCTCCAGGGCCGTCCAGTGAATGGCATCCGCCTTGGCCACCCCTATTCCCTGCCCCCCTCCTTGCTGCTAACATAAGCCCACAACCATCCTGCCCCCCCCCCCTCCCCCCCCCCACCCACCCACCCCCCCCCACTCCACTCACCATCGGACACGTTCACAGGCTGCACCACCGCGGGTCGTCTGGTTGCCTCAAGAGCCGTCCAGTGAATGGCCTCCGCCTTGGCCAGCCGCACCTCGATCTTGGTGCTCATCAGCACGTGCTTGCTCTTTGCCGGGTCCACCTGGGGGGGGGGATGGGAAGGGAGGCAGTAGGGAAGAGGCGAAAATGGTGAGAGGGCAGCGGAGGAAGGGGGAGAATGTAGTGCTCTCCGCCTTGGCCAGCCGCACCTCCACCTTGGTGCTCATCAGCACGTGCTTGCTCTTTGCCGGGCCCACCTGAAAGGATGCAAGGCAACAAAGGGAGCAGAGCATTGCCAAAGAGAGGGGAGTGCTGAGCTGAGAGTCTCATAGGTGGATGGCCTCTGCCTCCTCTCCTCTTTCCCCATCGCACCTCCACAGGGTACACCTGGTAAGGGAGGGAGAGAAAGGTGGAAGGAAGAGGGTTGGTAATCGCGCAGAGGTGACACCGTGACAGGAAGAGGGGATGAGTGCCTCTGCCTGCCTTAGCCAGCCGCACCTCCACCTCTTTTTTGAGGTTGATTTTGAAAGTCATCTCAAAATCAGCCACGCCCCCCCCCCCCCTCCCCAAAAAAAAGGCAGCTGGCCTGCAATTCTCGAGTTGACTCAAAACTCAGCACTATTCTGCAATCACTGATCAAACCACGTGATTCTTTCCACTTTGTAAGTTATATCCCCCTTCCTCCCCCCCCTCCCCTTCCCCCTCCCCCTTCCCCCTTCCCCCCTCTCTCCTTCCTCCCCACTCCATATCAACCTGCCTCCCTCTCGACCCCCTCCCAGGCCCCCTCCCCCCTCCCAGGCCCCCTCCCCCCTCCCAGGCCCCCTCCCCCCTCCCTCCCAGGCCCCCTCCCACCCCCCACCCACACTCCTTCGCAACACACACCTTGCCAAACAACCGCAGCTGCAGGACATATGGCGGCTCGTCATTGGTCGATTCGATCACCGCACTCAGCTGCACGTGCGAGTGGGCGTGGCAGTGGAGAGGAGACAGGGTAAAGGGGGGAAATGACACACGGGAGGAGTGGTTGGGTTGGGAGGGGGTGTTTGGGACGGAAGAATCGATTTCAATACTCAGCTGTGAAGACAGCAGACGATGCACGGGAGAGTGGGCGTTGATAGTGGAGAGGAGACAGGTAAAACATGGGGAGAATGGAATATTACACTGCTCAAAGAGGTGGTTACCACGTTAAAGCACGGTAGAAGGTGTTTGGTACAAGCGCTTGGGGGAAAAGCGTGAAACAGAGAAACTACCTAACTGCGCAGACATCTGAGTCGCTTTTGAGAATTCTTAATAGCGACTCAGACCACCTTAACTGTACAGACATCTCCCTGTGGAAAACCACTTTGCTGAGGAGTTGAGGAGGGAAACTGATTCTTTCAGGGGAGATACACACTCTACCACTTGCTCTCCAATCTGCACTTGCAGCTTTTGAGTCAACTCAGAACACGAGATAAAACACTCACCACTTGCTCTCCAATCTGCACTTTCAGCTGCTCCGATGAAACGCCCTTGGCGAACACTGTCACCACCACTGTTGTCGCCGACTGATAAAACTCGTGCCTGGGAAAGAGAAGAGAAAAAAGAGAACAGAGAGAACAAGAGAGGAGGAAAGCGAGAAGGACAATGAGAAGGGGGGAAAGGAGGGCAGGATGGAGCTGAGAAACGATGCTGGGCTAATTTCGGACCTCAGCTAGCAGTTTCACCTGCTACACGCCTTGACGCTACCTGTTATCTACTACACGACTTGATACCAATTCTCACCTGTATTTCGGAGGTGCTGGTGCTGGTGCTGGCGCAGGTTTAGTGACAGGAGCAGAGGAAGTGGGGGCAGCAGAGGCAGTGGGGGCGCTGGCAGGAGCTTCTGACGTGGATGGAGCAGAGGGGGCAGGAGCGTCAACTGTCATGTCCTCTTCTGCGTGAATAAAGGGAAACAGTAAAGGGTGGGAAAAACCAGAGAGAACCACCATCAGAATATTATGCTTTGTAACGCGTGAATCTACCTGTGAGAGATGAGGTGACAAGAAGAGAAAAGATCACGAGGGTGGGAATAACAGAAAGAACCAGACGGACGATGCGAGTGAGAAGCACAAACATGAAAGCGGAGGATACAGGCAGGGAAGGAGGGGAGGGGAGGGGAGGGGAGGGGAGGGGAGGGAGGGGAGGGAGGCGAGAAGGGGAAGGAGGAACGGAGGATCCTGAACTATTCATTAAGAAGGTGCAAACAAAATCACTCAATCCTCGTTACAATTACCCACCTTGGCTCTGCAGCTCCGCCTTACGAATGCCGTTGCGAATGCCATTCCAGAACTTGGCATTACTGGGCTCCAGCTTGGCCCCATAATCTTCTGCTTTACAATCATCCTCGTTACAAGCACCCTCGCTTCCCTCACACACTAACCCACCTTGGCTCTGCAGCTCCGCCTCTGCCTTGCGAATGCCGTTGCGGAACTTGGCATTACTCGGCTCTAGCTTGGCTCCTGCCTTGAACGCTGCCAGTGCTGTCTCATACTCTTCTAGGTTATGACAGGCGACTCTGCGGAAGACAAAAGAAAAAAGGGAAGGGAGTTAGCGTTAGGGATGTAATTCTTGGATCCAGCTTGGCTCCTGCCTTGAACGCTGCCAGTGCTGTTTCATACTCCTTCAAGTGGTGACAGGCGACTCTAGGGAAGAAGAAAAAAAAAGAAGGGACAGAGAGTTCACAAAAATGAGGAATTACAAAAAGTGCACACCCTGACACAGGGGTAAACCCACATCAGCAACAAATAACCTGGATACGGAGACATAAACAACGTTCAGAAGCGACGGAGAGTTAACCAAAAAAAAAAAAAAAAAAAATTTGTAAGCCACGCACCCTTTACGCAGGTAGGCCAGCGCATAAGACGGGTTCAGCTTGATCGCCGCGTTTGCATCTGCCACCGCATCTGCCAAAACATAAATCATAACATCCGATTTTGTTAACGACTCAAATCTCTACGCAATCCTTGCAACCGCCACCGCATGCGGAAGAACAGAGGACGAAGCAGTAGTGGTTCTCATCACGCGAGGTTTCGTCAGAACCAAATTCAATCTATTTTCTCTTCACATCGGCGCTCCGCCAGCACAACTACAAGAGCGATCGCGAAGGACTTCAAGAGAGCCAAGCAGCCGTTGCTGGATTCAGCCGTCGCGACGAAACTATTACCAGAAAAGTGCGAATACGGGGCACACATCAATTTATAGAGGAACCATTGAAGAGGACGCGAGAGACACCTGTGAAATTCTCGAGCTTAATGTGCGCGGCTGCGCGTTTGCAGAGAAGAGTCTCGGTCGCGCCATTCGCGCTGATCGCCTGCGTGTAGAGATCCACGGCCGCGTCATAGTCCTCGTCCACAAACTGCGCGTCGCCTTTCGCCGCGAGTTCAGCCGCCGCCTGCGGGCCACTCGGCAGCTCCTCGATGATCATGGCTGAGATATAAAATCTTCTGTTACCTCTAGGCTTTAATCGCTTCGCTCCCGATGCACTTAAGCTAGTCGAATATCAGAAGCGAGGTGATGGAAAAGAAAATGGGGCACGAGTTCCAGATAGACTTCAACAAAAGGAACGAACAGACGGCTTCCAACACAGACGTTCGACTGGCAAAGGAGAACTCGCAAGTCCGATCAGTGAGTGGTGTCTTGAAGTAAGAAAGGAAACCTTATCAGTTCTGAAAATACATCTGACGCAGGGAGGGGTCCGCCATTGATTTTGCCGAACGACGGACCAAGACGTTGACGGGAATTGAAGCGTTTCCCACACGTCAATGGCAGTTGCCTCGGCTGTCAGAATTTCGCGCCTCTGCCTCGGTTTGTACGCGCACCAATGACGAACAGGTTTTGGAAGGTTCGCGAAACAACGACCTGTGTGTTGGAGATGTCGATTTCGAATAGATATGGAAGTCAATTGAGCACTTGCAATAAACGAGTGCCTCTACAGCGAAGGCTAGAGGAAGAGAAGTGAGTGGCTTCGAGGCTGTCGAGTCAGCCGGTTGTTGATCCCCCAAATTGTGGGAGTCGTCGACGTGGCGGAAAAGATCTTCCCGCTTTCACTTTCCAGCTCCCCACTTACATCATTGGACGAATCAGACAGCCTCGATATTCACCCTAGCGAGCACCTGACCCTTTTTCCGGCTAAAAGGGGCTCCAAACTTCTTTCGGTTTTCCCCAATGTCCGGTTCGTGGCCTGGTCTGGTTGGCTGGCTGACCCACACCCTGGGAAACTCCATCCCCTATTGCTGATCTATCTTCTGAAATTGCAACAATATCAGAGGGATTCACAGGCAGAGGAAAACATAAGAGGGATTGCAGGAATCACAGTAGCAGAGCAGCTACAGCAGCACAAGCTTCCGCTTGATCTAAGCTGTCTGATTCTTCATCAAGAAACAGACCAGCATAAGCTTCTTATTGCTGTGATCCAAGCTTTCCCAGGACCTGAATCTTCGGAATTAGCCGCTGAGCTTGAACTCTTCATAGTGTGGACACGTGAAGATAATGGAGTGCCTGCGAGGCACATTGAGCAGCTCCTCAGTGCAACCAGTTGCACTGCAGGGCCTGCGATCAAGCAGAAATTCCTCCAAGCTCTCCGTTCTCGGGCTATCCAGTCAGCTTCCCAATGCTCTCAGGGCTCAAAATGACACTTATTCTCGCTTAACGGATAAACCATTTCCTAGTTCTTCCGTTAGAGTCACCGCAGTGAGAGTGACTGCAGCTGTATCTGCAGGAAGTAAGGTGAAAGTGCGTTTCAATCTCCCGATTCAGGTTAAATTCGGGGAGAGCATCGCGGTCGTTGGATCTGCTGATTGGCTCGGGTCCTGGACGGATCCGAAAGCTCTTCAATGGAGCGAAGCCGGCTGGAGCGTTACCCTTGACGCGCCTGCAGGTCAAGACGTGGAGTTCAAATTTGTGATTGTAAAGAACGGGAAGAGCGCGGTCTGGGAAGATGGCCCTAACAGGAAGGTGACTCTTCCGGGGGTTGAACCCCGCGGCAAAGAATTCAACACCGATGTCGAATGGAACAAAACCGCTGCAACCCTGTCGTGGGAGGTTACTAAGGAGGATAGAGCAGGATCTTCCAACGAAGCTCCAGTCGGCGTCGACAGTGGGTCTGAGAGCGAGGGGGAGTTTTCATCCGCGGAAGACGGGGAATTGGAGGAGAGCGCGTTTGCGCAGAAATGGGCGGGAAGGGGTGTGGAGTTTATGAGGAGTAACGCGCACAAGAGCGAGAGGCGCGGACGTTGGGACACGAGCGGGCTTGAGGGGCCGGCGAAGACGCTGGTCGAGGCTGATAAGGGCGCGGGGAACTGGTGGCGCAAGGTACGAGTGGTTCTGATGGTGCTGTTGACACCGACGGTACTAGTTGCACTAACGGTACGACTGACATTGATGGTACGATTTAGCTCCACGGTATTGTCGACGATACGGACGGTACGATAGGCTTACAATTGACACCGATGGTACAATTGAGACTAACGGACGATTGCCACCGACGGTACGATAGAGCAAAACGGTACGATTGGTTCATACAATCGGCATTGTCGGTAAGATTGACTGCTCCGACTGAAACTGGCGGGAAGACGACTCCGACGGTATGAACGGAACGGCACTGACGGGGTACGACTGAGATTAACTGCTCAAAGAACGGACAGTATGATTAGCATGAGGCATACGAGTAACACTTCGGGTTTAGCACGGGCGGAACCACGAATGACGACTGCTCGTACCGGGGTTTTTGGTATATTGTCGTTTCAGATATGCGTTATTGCTGTCGGAATGACTTATGTCATGACTAACAAGTCACCTTGCCGACTGTAAGTGCGTACCATGACATTCTTAACCGCATGTCGTCTTAGCCAAATCTATGGTTGGCGGGCGATGGAAATTGAACGAAAAATGCTGACGCCGTCGCCGAGTCATTTGCAAATACGTTCTGTTCGAGGAAATCGTGCCAAGAAACGCAGCCCGCGTCTTACCTCAAACCTTATCAAACCCCTCTAAATCTCTCCAAACCCCTTCCCGTCATACAGCTGGAGGTAGTGGAGCAGCTTCTATTGCCGTTGGAGCGGGGTCAGCGGCTCGATGCCATGATCTACGCGTCCATCTACCTGCAGGTATGCCATGATTCACGCGTCCATCTACCTGCAGGTATGCCATGATTTACGCGTCCATCTACCTGCAGGTATGCCATGATTTACGCGTCCATCTACCTGCAGGTATGCCATGATTTACGCGTCCATCTACCTGCAGGTATGCCATGATCTACGCGTCCGTCTACCTGCAGGTATGCCATGATTCACGCTGTGCATTTTTGCTTCGGGTTTTGTATTCACTTTCGACACCAATATTCCACTTTGCATGCGCCCCTGTGTTTCCCCTCGCCTCATGCGCCTCTACCGTTCCCACACCTCTCCACCGCAGTGGATCAACACGGGGCAGATCCCGTGCGTGGAGGACGGCGGGCACAGGCGGCCCAATCGCCACGCGGAGATCTCCCGCCGCATCTTCCGCTGGCTCGAGAAGGAAGGCACCAGGAGCTCTGCTCTCACGTCTGAGGTGCGTGCTGTGTGTGGGTGCCGTGTGTGGGTGCTGTGTGTGGGTGCTGTGTGTGGGTGCTGTGTGTGGGTGCTGTGTGCTGAACCCCCTTGCATTTTCCGTCCGTTGCGCTTGCTGTGTGCTGACCACCCTGATCCAGCCATCCCGTAACCCCCCCCTTTTTCCCCTCAGGAGAAAGTTTGATGCGCAAGCTCCATCCGCGCCTGCCCGCCTTCCCACATTGATGTGCCCGCCCCGGTCTTCCCCCACCTCCCCCCTTACCCCCCTCAGGAGAAAGCGGTGATGCTCAATATTCATCCGCGCCTGCCCCCCTTCCCATGTTGATGTGCCCCCATCTTCCCCCCTCTCTCCCCTTTCCCACCCCTCTCTCTCCCTCTCCCTCCTTCCCACTCCCCCCCTCAGGAGAAAGTGGTGATGCGCAAGATTCATCCGCGCCTGCCCGCCTTCTCTGCTGACTTCACGGCGTCAGTGCCCCTCACTCGCATCCGAGACATTGCTCACCGCAACGACATCCCACACAACCTTAAGGTATGCTGCATGCATGATGCAAGGTGCGCGTGAGTGGTGCAACCTCAGAACTCCATCTTCAGGCGCAGGGTGAGTACAATGAGGGCTTGAAGCATACTGGAGGACGGCAGGGGGGCTATCAGTTTCAGAGACACTGACTTCACGGCGTCCGTGCCCCTCACGCGCATCCGAGACATTGCTCACCGCAACGACATGAGCGATGTCAAGGTACGGCACCTGAAATTGCTCACCGCACAATTTCAACGTATGGCGCACCTGTGTGTCGAATTAACTCTTCCCCGCTCCACTCCCTTCCAACTCTCCCCTTGGCCCCAAGCACCATTCCCTCTTCTCTCGTGCTTCTGTTTCTCGTTCCCCCCCTTCCCCCTCCGCCTTTCCCCCTCAATCCCCTCTCCGCCACCCTCCAACAGCAAGAGATCAAGCACACGGTTCAGAACAAGCTGCACCGCAACGCCGGGCCTGAGGACCTGGTGGCCACGGAGCTGCTGCTGCGCCGGGTCGCCCTCACTCACACTCATAGTACCTTCCCGTTCTCCCCCTTTCCCCCCACGCCCTCCCCCCCCCTCCCCCCCCCTTCAGCAAGAGATAAAGCACACGATTCAGAACAAGCTGCACCGCAACGCCGGGCCCGAGGACCTGGTGGCCACGGAGCTGCTGCTGCGCCGGGTGACCCGCACGCCAGGCGAATACAGCGAGGCGTTCGTGCAGCAGCTGAAGCTGTTCTACGCTGAGCTCAAAGACTTCTTCAATGCGAGCAGGTAGGCGACAGGGTGAGTGGGAGAGAGGAAGCGAGGGGGTGAATAGACGGAGCTGAACGCACGGAGCTGCTGCGGCGGGTGACGCGCACCCCGGGGGAAGACAGCGAGGCGTTCGTGCAGCAGCTGAAGCTGTTCTACGCTGAGCTCAAGGACTTTTTCAACGCGAGCAGGTAAGTCTGTTGCACATGCGTGGGGAGGAGGGGGGGAGAGAGAGAGAGACACCAAAGAATTTACAGTGAGGCGTTTGTGCAGTAGCCGAAGCTGTTCTAAGCTGAGCTCGAAGGTTTCGTTCCACGCTGTTTACTCAAACAACAACCCTAAGCACAAACAACCCTATACCTGCACAATCCTACCCTCCCTACTTCCCTCCCTTCTCCCCGCCTGCCTGACGGAGCTCCTGGAGAGCATTCGCCCCTTTCTGGATGACACGGGCTCTGCCATGCTTGAGAGGGTAGCCCCTGGATGCCCTTTTCTTTTCAGTACACTCCTTAACCTCCACATCCCCTCGCCCCCACACCCCCACAACCCCTCGCCCCCACACCCCCACAACCCCTCGCCCCCACACCCCCACAACCCCTCGCCCCCACACCCCCACAACCCCTCGCCCCCACACCCCCACAACGCCAACCCCACATCCCCTCTCCCCTTCCCAGCCTGACGGAGCTCCTGGAGAGCATTCGCCCCTTTCTGGATGACACGGACTCAGCCATGCTTGAGAGGGTAGCCCCTGATTGCACTCTTCTTTCAATGCGCTCCCCTACCCCTCCTCCACACTCCCACCACCCTCCCCCTCCCCCCACCACCACCACCACACCCCCACAACCCTGCACCCCCTTCTCACTGTCAGTCTGACGGAGTTGCTGGAGAGCATTCGCCCCTCACTGGACGACACGGGCACTGCCATGCTGCAGAACTTCCTCGCATGCAAGCAGGTAAGGCGTGAGGATTCAGCAGGTGGGGTGCGGATTGGGCAGGTGGAGTGAAGATTGGGCAGGTAGCAGGTGCGGGTGAGAAAATCGACAGGCGGGATTGAAAAAATAGCAGGTGTGGGTGAGAAGATCGACAGGTGGGATTGAGATTTTAGCAGGTGTGGGTGAGACTTGTGAAGTCTCGCCCCTCACTGGACGACACGGGCGCTGCCATGCTGCAAAACTTCCTACCGTGCAAGCAGGTGTGAGGATCCAGCAGGTGGGGTGAGGATTCAGCAGGTGGGGTGAGAATTGATGAGGTGACTTTCCTATTGGACAATCAGGTGGGGGTGCGGATCAGCAGGTTTGGGACGTTACAATAACCCCCATATTCTTCTTCGCACCCCTGCACTGCACACCCCCCCACACCCTCCCCTCTCTCACCCCCCTCTTCCCCCCCCACCGCCTCTCTCTTCCCAGAACGTCGATGCACTGCCGTCTTCGGCAGGGGCATCAGGAGAGTCATCACAGGGGGCGGCAGCGTCCGGCCGGCCGACTGACGTGCTGATGTCAGCGCTGCATGCGCTGACGGGGCTGCGGGCCGTGCTGATGTATTCCCTGGAGAGTGGGCTCAGGAACGATGCTCCTGATGATGCCATTGCCATGCGGCAGAAGGTGAGAAGCAGTTTGGGTGAAGGTGGGGTGAAGGTGAGGGATACGAGTGGGCTCAGGAACGGTGCTATGATGCCATTGCCATGCGACAGAAGGTGAGAAGTGGTTGGGTATCCTCGAGGTTGAGGTGGGGGCAGTGGTTGGTAGAAGGAGCGGGATAGGAGTAAGCTCAGGGCTGCGTGCCGTGCTGATGGGTATTCTCTGGAGAGTGGGCTGAGGAATGACGCACCTGATGATGCCATTGCCATGTGGCAGAAGGTGCGGGAAAGGTGGGGAAGAAGGGTGATCACAGTTGGGGGAATAGGGACGAAGGTGAGGGTGGGCTGTGGCCTGTGCTGCTGTCTTGCCCGGAGAGTTGGCTGATGAATGAAGCTCCAGATAGTGCCTTTGCCGTGCAGCAGAAGGTGAGCGGGGAGAGAGATGGGAGTTGGAGGGAACAAGGATGTAGTTGGGAAGTGGCCGTGCTTCTGTATTTAACTTCCTTTTAGCAGAGATCTGTCTCGAGGAGTACTTATTTCAGGGCACTGAAAAGAATCCCCTCCTTCCTGCCCCACCCCTTTCCCACTTTCCGCAGTGGCGACTGGCGGAGATCTGTCTGGAGGAGTATTTCTTCGTGCTGCTGAGCAGGTGAGCAGTGCTGCATGAGGCACGTGAGCAGGTGAGCAAGTGTTTGTTCAAGCAGGTGCACGAGGCACCTCTTTCTCCCTTCTCCCCCAGTGGTGACTGGCAGAGATCTGTTTCGAGGAGTATTTCTTCGTGCTGCTGAGCAGGTAAGGGAGGGGAGTCACAATGCAATGCAAGTGAATCTCATTGTTTGTGCAATGGGCCTTCCATTCGTTCTGCGAATACCCTCCCTTGAAGCTTAGAGACACATGCTAGGCAACTAGCGAAGATTTGGTGTAGCGCAGTAGGCAAGGGTGCGCTGGTGCAAAGTTTTGAGTCGACTCAAAACTAGTGTAGATTTGGCAGCGCAGTAGGAAAGGGTGCGCTGGTGCAGTCAACCAGGTGAGGGTCACGCTATGTTGCTGTTGTAAGGAGCTTGTAGACCCTAACATGTTGGTGTTACTTTTGAGAATTCGCAAATGTAACACCAACCTGTTCTGGAAGGCACGTGTAACAAGTGAGTTCTTGAGCCGTCTCAAAAGTAACACCAACCTATTCTGGAAGGTTCCTGAACGAGCTGTTTGACGAAGAACGGGGGGAAGGCAGGGGAGGGCATGGCGGGGGAGATCCGCATGGGGCAGCTGGGGCACGTGGGGGTGGTTCAGAGCTTGGGGCGGTAGTGTAGGCAAGCAGGGGGAGTGGCATCTTAGGAGGCGGTTCGATGCCCTTTTCACCACTCTCCCTCTCTCCCATCTCTCACTCTCTCCTCCTCTCCTTCTCCTCTTCTCCCCGCTCCTCCGTCATTTGTCTCCCCCACCCCCCTCTCCCCCCTCCTCCCAGGTTTCTGAACGAGCTGTTTGACGAGGAAGGGGGAGACAAGGCAGCGGAGGGCATGGCAGGGGAGATCCGCATGGGGCAGCTGGGGCACGTGGGGGTGGCGCTGGGGGCGGCAGTGCTGGGGCTGAGGCACCTGGGGCTGTCCGGGTGGAACCAGGCAGAGTGCTTCTGCCTTGAGAACGAGCTCGCGTCCTGGCAGGCTGCTGGCATCGGCAGTGCAGGTGAGCTGGGTTGTAACTCCTCGTACGCGTTGATTAGGAAGGGAGGGGGGGAGGTTGAGGCACCTGGGGCTCTCACTTGGGTGGAACCAGGCGGAGTGCTTCTGTCTTGAGAACGAGCTGGCGTCCTGGCAGGCTGCTGGCATCGGCAGTGCAGGTGAGCTGAAACTCACCAACTTGACCTGAAAGGGGAAGGGGCGAGGCACCTGGGGCTCCTACTTGATATGAAGGGGTTAAGAGGAGGGCCGCAGCAGCACCTGAGGCTGTCTGTTCGGGTGGAACCAGGCGGAGTGCTTTTGCCTTGAGAACGAACTGGCTTCCTGGCTGGCTGCTGGCATCGGCAGCGCAGGTGAGGTGAAATGCAAGGCCCGATGATGCTCCAGGAATCAACTTCACTCCACCACCATTATTTGAAAGAGTTTAGAGAAGGCTGCGGTACCTGTGGCTGTCCGGGTGGAACCAGGCGGAGTGCTTCTGCCTTGAAAGCTAGCTCAACGCCTGCCAGGTGTTGCATCAGAGCACAATTTTCAGTGGTGTTCTGAGGCTCAAGGCACAGGCACAGGCACAAGCACAGGCACAGGCACTCTGATACACGCACGCACATTTACTCTCCTCTCTTCCCGGCTCTGTTGCGTCCAGGTGTGGCATCAGAGCATGATCTGCGGTGGTGGGCGTTGAGGCTCAAGGCTTCTTTGGACCGCATGAGGCGACTCACAGAGGCCTTCACAGAGACCACACTTGAGCTCTTCTTCGAGCCCTCGCAGGTGTGTGCGTGGGGTTGCACTAAAAGCAGTGTGCATTGTACAGTGTGCTGCTCTGCAATACCACTGACTGCAAGCAGCACTCACAGAAGCATTCACAGAGACCACGCTTGAGCTCTTCTTCGAGCCCTCACAGGTGCGTGTCTGGGGGGGCAGTGCACCAAGAAGAGCGTGCAATGTGCAGTGCAGCGGTGACTCATGAGTGCTACCTGCACTCACAGAGGCCTTCACAGAGACCACACTCGAGCTCTCCTTCGAGCCCTCGCAGGTGCATGCGTGTGTGGGGATGTGCTAAGAGCAGTTGGTCATGTTGCAGTGACTTCAGGTGCAAGCAGCAGCGCTCTCAGAGGCATTCACAGAGACCACGCTGGATCTCTTCTTCGAGCCCTCACAGGTGCGCGTGACGGGTTGCACTAACAGCCATCGCTGATGTGTGCTTGTGCACGGGTGCAGTGCAGTATTGCAGTGTACAGTGTACAGCAGTGGGTCAGGGTGAAGCTGAGTGCAAGCCACTAGCAGAGGCCTTTACTGAGACCAAGCTCTTCTTCGAGCCCTCTCCGGTGCGATATCCCACGCATGGCACAAGCCCTCTCAACAAGCCCGTCCCAGCATCCCAACGCTACACATGCTCTCCCCGTCGCTCCCCCCTACCACAATCTCCCCCTTCTTTCCCCTTTTCACAGTCTCCCCCTCCCTTTCCCCTTTCCGCTACCCACTGTTCATCCCTGCCCTGTTTACTCCACGTGGCAGAAGCTAGGCCACGCACTGGGAATCGAGGAGAACGCTGTGCGGACGTTTGCAGAGGCTGAGATTCGATCCAGGTGAGATTAGTTCCAGGCGAAATTTGGTCTAGCTTAAATTTGACTCAGGTGATTCGATTCAGGGAGATTTAGATCCAGGTGAGAATTTGGAAAAAAAAATGGTTAAGGTGAGAATTTATCCAGGTGAGGTCTGAGCCATTCCACCCTCCCCTCTTCCCCCTTACCCGTTCTCCCAGTGAGGCGTTTCATTCAGCTGGCGAAGCCCACGTCTCTGCTGCTGTGTGTGATGCAATCAGTGTTGGGGCCCGAGGGTGATGTGTCTAGTGTCGCCTCAATCCCCTCGCCGCCCCCCCACCCTTCCCTCCCTCCCTCCCTCCCTCACCTCCTCTCCTCTCCAGCCCCCACCAGTGTGGTGTTTCAGCTGGCGAAGCTCACCTCTCTGCTGCTGCGTGTGATGCGATCAGTGCTGGGTGCCTGAGGGCTGGGACGTGCCAGCTGTCACCTGAACCCCCCTCCCTCCCTCTTACCCCCCTCTCTCCCTCTTACCCCCCTCCCTCCCTCTTACCCCCCTCCCTCCCTCTTACCCCCCTCTCTCCCTTACCAGTGTGGTGTTTCAGCTGGCAAAGCTCACCTCTCTGCTGCTGCGTGTGATGCGGTCGGTGCTGGGGGCTGAGGGCTGGGATGTGCTTGTTCCTGGCACTGCAGTGGGCAAGCTCGTGGAGGTGAGTGGCTGGGGGCGTGTGTTGATACGATTCTTGAGGCGCCTAGAAAATGCTCACCTCACTGCTGCTGCGCGTGATGTGGTCGGTGCTGAGGGCCGAGAGGTGGGACGTGCTTGTTCCTGGCACTGCTGTGGGGAAGCTGGTGGAGGTGATGCAGGGCGAGGATGGGTGAGGATGGGTGAGGATGGGTGAGGATGGGTGAGGATGGGTGAGGGGGGGTAAAGAAGGGTGAGGTTGGGAGAGGAGGAGGACGGGATGGTGCTGCGGGAGGAGCGCATAGCCTGACTTTCTGAAAACGCGGTAGGGGGAGGAGAAGGGGTGGTGCTGCCGGTGCTTTAGTCGAGTAAACTAAAGAATTCCCTGGCTCTCCCTGTTCCACTCCTTCCCTCTGCCTCAGGTGGAGCGCATAGGTCCTGACCTCCTTGCAATGCGGTAGGGGGAGGGGGAAGGGGTGGTGCTTTTGTTGATTCAAGTAAAGAACCCCCCACCCTCATCCTCCCCTCCCCCATCTTTCCCTCTGTCAGGTGGAGCGTATAGACCCTGACCTCCTGGCAACGCTCAAGGGCGAGCAGGGGGTGGTGCTGCTGGTGCAGCGTGCAGAGGGGGATGAGGAGGTGAGTGCGGGGGGTGGGTGAGTGGTTGGGTGGTTGGGTGGGGAGGAGGAATGGTGCTGCTGGTGCAGTGCGCAGAGGGGGATGAGGAGGTGAGTTGGTGGAGGGTGTGCGTGTGTGGTTGGGAGGAGGTGGAAGGAGGTGAGTGGTCATCTATAGCTTCCAGAGTGCAGCAGACTATTGAAAATACTATTGTTAACGCGCCTATGTCAAGCCGCGTGGACGCGTAAGAACTAATTGTGCGTACGCGTTTTGGCCGAAGCCTTTGTCAGCGCACATCATACATTCAAAGCTATTTGTCCCCTGTCTACGTATCCACCCCCCATATCCACCACCCATATCCACCACCCATATCCACCGCCCATACCTGTCTACGTATCTAATCCTACACCTATCCTCGCACGTATGTCCCCATACATACGTCTCCGGGTATCCCTAATGTCTGCGAGCAGGTGAAAGCAGCAGGCGCCAACCTCAAGGCTGTGGTGTTGCTGCAGGAGCTGCCACATCTCTCCCACTTGGCTGTCAGGGCCAGGCAGGTGCGATACCCTGTACACTATACACTAACACTATACATTTGATTGACGCTAGCAGCTCGTATAACTATTGATGCCGCTACATTTGTTAGCTATAAACTGTAGTTAGTAGGGCTGCTGCATCTGGTGCAAGAGCTGCCGCACCTCTGGCCGTCAGGGCGAGACAGGTGAGGTTATACGCCGTACACCGTACGCTGTACACTGTACACTGTACGCTATACACTAAATACTACATACACTCGTTGCTACTGATCAGGGGCTGCTTTTGAGGTGCCTCAAAAACTGATCAGGGGCTGCGTGTTCCACTTTTCCCACTTGGTCGTGTTGCTCATGACTAGTGTTACACTAGTTGCTACCTTGCTATATACTACATACACTAGTTGCTACTGATCAGGGGCTGCCTGTTCCACTTTTCCCACTTGGTCGTGTTGCTCATGACATGACATGCAACGACCTTCGTGTTGTAAGCAGTTCTTCAGAAGTAAAGAGAAAAAAACCCCACCCATCCACCCACCCATCCGCTTCAACCCTGTAATCACGCAGGAGGGTGTGCTGCTCATGGCATGCCAGGATGACAGCATTTGCGTTGAGTCTGTTCATCAGAATCCGCAGAAGCCCTTTATCCACCCTCCTATCCGCAGTTCTTCAGAAGTAAAAAGAAAAAAACTCCACCCATCCACCCACCCATCCGCTGCACTGCACCCCTCCATGATCCATCCACGCAGGAGGGTGTGCTGCTCATGACATGCGAGGATGAGAACCGAATCGCCGCCCTTCGCTCCGCTGTTGGCTCTCGAATCCGGTAAGCACCCCCATATGAACTGCTCGAACCATGCATGCAGCAAGGAAAGCATTGCTAACGTTTATGTTTTTTGCCTTTTCCTCTCTTTAATCTTCACTTAGTTTTTTGCCTAAGCCGTTTCTTGCTCCAAGAGCCTCTCTCCATCCTCCCTTACATTGCTTTTGTGGCCTCGTGTGCAATCCGTTTCCTTTTTCCCTTTCACTCTTTTTTCACTCAATCCTCCCTCCCCACTCCCCCACTTGTGTCTCAATCTCTGCAGCCTCGAGGCGGGGGTGGAAGGGGTGAAGGTCATCACAGGAGCTGCTGTGGACCAGCGCTCCTCTCTCACACCTTCCCATCACTCTGTGCCGTTCAATCCTCCCTCCCCACTCCCCCGCTTGTATCTCAATCTCTGCAGCCTCGAGGCGGGGGTGGAGGGGGTGAAGGTCATAACAGGAGCTGCTGTGGACCAGCGCTCCTCCTCCTCCTCCTCTGCAGACGCTGCCAGTAGCGGTAGCAGTAAGAGCGAGGATGAAGTGTGGGTGCAGGCACTGAAACCGCAACCTGTAAGTCTACCTTGCACACTTTCACTAAAAGCATATCCACTAGAAGCACATCTGCTAGTAACTGCTGCTGTAGCGGCAGTAGCAGTGGGAAGAGCGAGGATGAAGTGTGGGTGCAGGCACTGAAAGTGCAACCTGTGAGTCGACTTTGTTTATTGGGTGAGTGTGCTGCATTCACACGTAACAAGAGAAGCATATCTGTTTAAGGCACATTTGCTAAAGGCACATCCGCTGGTAGCACATCTGCTACGCGCACATCTCCCCGCCGATTCCGAGTGCAGGATCGCTGCTGCCATGCTGCCGCTGCATAAGGCCGTGTGTTAATATGTTTCAGAACCCTAACGTCTCATCTCTCCTCTGCCCTTTACTCTCCCCCTGTGCTGCCTCAGGTCCGAGTGCAGGAGGCGCGGCTGCCAGTGCTGCCGCTGCACGGGGCCCAGCTGGCCACGTGTGGGGCCAAGGCGCATGCGTGCGCCAAGCTAGAGGAGCTCTCAATCGCCTCCACCTTTGCAGGTACTTGCCCCTCCAGCCTCTCGTGTCTTTTGTCTCTACCTCTCCGCTGCTCCAGTCTCTCTGTCGATCTCGTCTCTCAAGGCACATGCGTGCGCGAAGCTGGAGGAGCTCTCAATCGCCTCCACCTTTGCAGGTACTTGCCCCTCCAGCCTCTCGTGTCATATGTCTCTCTGTCTCCGGTGCATTAGTCTACCGCTTCCAACCGCCACACACTCAGTGAATCCCCTTACCCCTCAATCTCACTTCGAACCCCTTCCCCTTCTATCAGGTGCTGACTTCTCCGTCCCTCGTTCGCTGTGATCACCTTTGGAGTAATGGACGCGTCCAACCGCCGCACACTCTTCCACCGCCTCGTCGCCACCCTCAACACTTTCCTTTTTCTTACTCCACTCCCCCGTTCCCCCGCTTTTCCAGGTGCTGACTTCTCCGTCCCCCGCTCGGCGGTGATCACCTTTGGAGTAATGGAAGAGTCCATCACCGCTTCCAACCGCCGCACACTCTTCCACCGCCTCGTCGCCACCCTCGACGACCCGAACCTTCAAGGAAGCGTCCTCGACAGCACCTGCGCCCAGATCCGCACTCTCCTAGAGGAATCCCCCCTCCCCCCCGCCTTCTTCCGAACCCTCTCCTATATCTTCTCCGCAAACGCTCGCCTTATCGTCCGCTCGAGCGCCAATGTGGAGGATCTAGCTGGCATGTCCGGAGCTGGGCTGTATGATTCGGTCCCGGACGTCACCCTCTCCGACCCTGCTTCGTTCGGCCGAGCCGTAGCCTCGGTGTGGGCGTCACTGTTCACGCGGCGCGCGGTGCTGAGCCGGCGGGCGGCGGGCGTGCGTCAGAGCGATGCGGCTATGGCGGTTCTAGTCCAGGAGTTAATCTCCCCACCGGATCTTAGCTTCGTGCTGCACACCAAGGGAATCGGCACTGGTGCTGGTGGGGCTCTCGTTGTTCCCAGTCCACGACTTGCCAACAGCAGCAGCGGCAGTGGCAGTGGCAGTAATGGGAAAGCCACGGGATCTGCGTCTACGAGTGCTGTTGCTCCCGGCTCATCTGCACCGTCGGATTTCCTCTCCGCTGAGGTGGCACCAGGGCTGGGCGAGACTCTGGCGTCCGGCACACGTGGCACGGCGTGGCGCTTCGCTGTCGGGAAATCCGACGGCTCGGTTCGAATCCTGGCGTTTGCGAATTTCAGCGAGAAAATTGTGATGGCGCCTGTTGCTGCTGGGGGCGGTTCGGGTGGAAGGAATACAGGCGCTGGGTCGGGGGGAGGGGGAGGAGTTGTGATGCAAGCAGTGGATTACAGTGGTCAGCTGCTGTCTACGTCGCCTGATGCTCAGGTGGTGCTTGCTAAGAAGCTCGAAGCTGTTGGGGCGTTTTTGGAAGACCGGTTTGGTTCGCCTCAGGACATTGAAGGGTGTGTTGTGGGTGATAAGATCTATGTGTTGCAGTCGCGGCCTCAGCCTTGAATGGGAGAGAATATATGTATGGTTTGAACTTGACTGGATTATTGATTTTTTGAGGGTAGAATTTGGCTTATTGGACTGCCTGTTATGAATGAACTTGCAGAGTGCGCAGAATATCGAATAACGAGAATGAACTGATTACCGAATGACGATACAATGAGAAAGGCACGACTAAATAGGGGAAGTCCTAGCTAGGCGGAGAGGTTGGGCGAGGATGGCTCGGTGATGGTTGCGATTGGTGCGGAGGCGACTCGGGAGTGGTTCGGTGCGACGAAATAGGAAGGGCAGGTTCGTCGCGTGACCCTCGGGATGGCCTCGCTAACGAGTGCCTCAGTAAGGATTCTGTAAATCCTTACACTCTCCCACCTTCTAAATAAGACAGTCCTGTACTGAAAACGGACCCCACACTAGCAAGGATGCCGTAGATCTCCTCTTCAGCTGAATCCGACGGCCGAAATGCCTTCAACAATATTTTTGAAAAGGTTGGAATGTAGGCCGTTGATGTGATTACTGCAGATCGGACAGTCGACGATGACGCGAATGTGGAGGGAAGCTGCTGACGCGAAGTTCAATCGCGATGTAGCAGAAACCGTTGATCTTGTCGGTGTGATCGCGATCGTCCGTCGTGCTGACGCAACCTGACAAATTCAGAAAGGACCGAGAAAAACGCCAAGGAAAGAACAGTGCGAAGCACTTTCTCCCCTCCTCCAAGAAAGCACACCAGAAAAGTTTCGCAACTGCGCCGAAGTAAAATCCAACAAAACCAGGTGTTAAGTCCCACTCAGAAAGCCGTTGAGCGTAGAAGTCCAGGTGAAAACGTGTCGGTGTGGAGAAGTGATGTCGAAAACCAGGTAAGCCGTGCCCAAAATTCTTCAAGGGCGATCCCGTTGACGTAGACCAGAAACCGTGATGAAAATTCGCCGTTGCACGAACTGTCGACATTTGTCTTTACACCGCCGAAACTTTCGGTGGTCCCTTCCGCAGCTGCAGCTGGCAGCAGTTGAAATCGAATCGTTTGTCGTGGGCGGGTCGAGTTGGGCGATTTGTCGCTAGTAGAGTTGGAAGTCCCGTCCCGAAATCCTCTGGCCGTGAAATCGGGGTGTGGCGAAAATGTCGTCGATGAATACGATTGATGGCGAATATGAATACGAGAGTCAGCGACGGTCGTCGCAGATGTAACCAATATCGAATGTCACTCCGAAAATGTTGTCGAGCACGATCCAGCGTCAGATGATGTCAGCACCTCCGGCGGTTTTGTCCAGACTCGTCGAGAAATTTGTCGGAATGCGCCGAGGTCTCCTGGGCAGGGATGAAAAATTGCAGCTGTCTCTCCCCCCCCTTCACTGTTGCTGCCGCCTTCTTCAGTTCGTCGTAAGTCGTTCGTCCCCCTTGAAAACACCGTGTAGTTCTCGCGGTGTTGCCCCATGTCGTTGTCGCGCGCGTTTAACCAAATGCCGCAACTCCTCCGAAATTGTCGGCGCTCCTTGCCGTAAAACCGGGAAGTCCCCACGTAAACACTCCGAAATTGTTGCTCGAATCAAACCCCGTAAATCCGCAGTTGCAGGTGCAGTTCGCCTCCGAAAATCTCGGACGTGCTATAGCCGCCCACTCGGTCACCATCAGTTTCCGTCGGTTACCCGACCCCAGCATGTGGGTTCAATCGAGAACCGGGGACTGCCCTGGGCTATTCCGAGACCGAATTTCACGGAACCTAGAGGCATCAACGCCGTTGACTCCGTCGTCAAAACTGCTCCCGTCGATGTCGCTTAACAAAAAATTCCTGTTTCTCCCACCAGCGCTTTGCAGATGTTTCACCACATCGCTCGTCGCCGGTCGATAGATCCCGAAGCTACGACTGCTCCCACGCTCCCTTTTTCTGAAGAATTTCCCGAGGTGTGCGTTTAAACACCGGGGGTCCTAGGTATCCTTGCCGTTGTGTTTCTTGCCAGGCAGCTTCGAAAAGTGCCCTTCAGGCGAAGTCCCCCAACGACTCAACCGCACTCCAAGAAGCGAAGAAATACCCGCAGCTTCATAATTTTTTGGTCGTTTCACCCCCCGACAATTCCGCTTCCCGCCGTTCACCCAGCGTCCGCATTTATCGGATGAGGTATAGTCGGTGTTGCCCGCACGAACCCAGCCACGGTGGAGAAGAAAAGTCTATCGGAGTCGGGTTTACCTTAGTTAAAAGGAAATCATTCCCAACCGCTTTGCAGCCCACCGTGCCGTCGCGCCACTAAAACTCCACAGCCCCGGTTCCAGCTCCGCCGCTGCGCCGTCACCTCGTGTAGACGCCCGGGTCAGGAGAAACCAGCGAACTGCACCATTGTTGTCATGCGGCGCCCCGATTTTTTCGCGTGCTGTTTCACCCAGTCCGCTTTTGTCGGAGTAGAACAGTGCCGCAACTCCACCTTTTTTTGTTTTTTCTGTACAGCTGTTGAACGAGCACCAACCCAGGTGCCTTTAACCAGCGCAGGGTAGGCCCATGTTCACCCCCATTATTCGGCCAAGTAAGTTGACTGCATGAGTCAGAACTAAAACTTGGTGGGGATGGTGAGGTTCGGGCGACGGAAGGTCACAGATCGTTCACACCGGCTTTTAACCAGCCCTTCACACCGTTCTTCAACCCCCGCTTAGCCGTCGGGTAGTTTCTTCTCGTGTGTCCCGGCGGCCTGTACCACTCTCCTCCGTAATTGTCGGCGTGGTACCTTGAACACCGTTTAATCGTGGGCTGTTGAGGCTGTCCCCGAAAATGACTTCCTTACAGGAAATCCACCCTCGAAATGGCCGGCCAGCAGTCAACAGTACCAGGCACGCAGCGTCATCCGAGTGTTCTTCGGGGTGTATGGGCCCGAATTGCCCTCGCCGCCTGCGTCCCACCCCTCCTGAGTGCGATTTAGCCACTCCGTTTTTTGTTGCAACCCGTAAGTGTCGGCGGGTCTGAAGTTCCCGTCTGTCCACGTGCGCTCCTGCCGAAATCTTCGATGACGCGCCCGCCATGCAGTAAAAGCCGCTGCACTTAAGGTCGGGCGGGACGACAGTTGACCCCGCATTATTCGGGCAATTCGCATGTCGTCTCTCCTCGTCCACCGATATTTTCGGACGCAAACTCCATTTGCGCCTGGCGAGTTCCCCAGCCGACTTTTTCTTCAACAGAAGCTCTGAAAATGTCGCCCTTGCTGACGCAGGCCCTTTGTCGCCATCTGCCGAAGATCTTTCCGAAATCTTCGCGTAACTGTTGACTCAGGTCCGCCGGCGTCAACAGCCACACACAGTGACGACGTCGAGGCTGTTCATGCAGGTGCCGACGCAGGTCCGCTGACGCCAGCTGCCACACGAATAAACCTCCGAAATCGTCGGAAATCGCAGCGGAAATTACTCACATAAACGTCGCGACAGCTACTGCTGCCCGTTGCCCGGGGGGAGGGAGGCCACGGTCGATCGCGACCGTTCGAGGCAAGGATCTGGCGGTGCCGAAGGAGTACCCGTAAAACCATGGCCGCGAGGAGCAACTAACTCGTTCTCCTGGCCGGCCTACGCAACTCCTGGACCCCAAGACATCCTTCCTCGTCCCCCCCCTGAGGGGTACTACACTCTAAAAAGCGGGATAGGCTAGGAAAGTAGCTCTGATACCAGGTGTTGTGAATGAACTTGCAGAGTGCGCAGAATATCGAATAACGAGAATGAACTGATTACCGAATGACGATACAATGAGAAAGGCACGACTAAATAGGGGAAGTCCTAGCTAGGCGGAGAGGCTGGGTGAGGATGGCTCGGTGATGGTTGCGATTGGAGCGGAGGCGACTCGGGAGTGGTTCGGTGCGACGAAATAGGAAGGGCAGGTTCGTCGCGTGACCCTAGGGATGGCCTCGCTAACGAGTGCCTCAGTAAGGATTCTGTAAATCCTTACACTGCCGCCAGTGGACAACAGGAAATTATGTGCCCTAGTATTTTGTAGATGCTAAGTAGGCTAGACAGGTTTGTAGAAGAGTGATATATTTTCTCCGGTACTTGGAAGTATTCATATTCCATCACTGGAGCGTGTTTGCGAGCTTATCGTTTAACAAGACCGGGTGAAGCTCTATCGGAGCTCTGCTTCTCGTGGCCCAGAAATCCACACAGAGGATCACGACCACCAATCACACAGCAGAACGCGTCCGAGCGTACCTCCACGCCGCATCTTTGCGTCAGGCACACGATCAATGCCTTGATTCTAGTCTGGCCTGGACAACTGGCTGACATCCGCGTGTGCCACCTGATTGCAAAACAATGTCGCTCCCCAATATCCAGAATCCATTCGGTACATTAGGACTTCGCGCAGCCATAGAGGTTTACTGTGCGTTCCGATACGGTGAACCTGGGTCAGCAGCACCAAGTCTTGCGACGCTGGACAGGCTGTTCTCGGAATGGTAGTTTCGCTACGATCTAGAACGGTTGTATAGAAAATAGAATGTTCGGGTAGGGTTGTGAGAGAATAACTACTCTAGTCTAACAGTTCCATCATTACCATAAAAGTGCGGGACAGCTATTATGTGACGGAACAAGGTCGCATATTTTTCTAGGATCAGCATTCAGCTCAGCTGCGTGCTTCGCAAGCAGAGAGAGGAAGAGGAGAGTCGGACGAGATGGCGTCTGCTGCGTTGCAGGGTTCGGCGCGCTCGTTGGCCGTCGAGGTGAGAAGTGCCACGCAGCTTAGGACAGCAGTAGAAGTTTATATCAGGGGGGTGCTATGAGTATTGCGGTTATGGCGGCCGCAATACTTCTGCAGCACACAATTTATCCGGTGGTATTTAGTTTTGATCGACGTTGAGTAAAGAATGGATTACGTAGCGCCAGCTAGCAGCTCAAACCAGCAGAAGTGGTTGAAGGAGATTGGGTGCGGTGCTTTTGTGACAGCCGTCTTGCAAGAAACTCTTGATCGTCGTGTCGGTTAAGAAGTTTCCGTCAGAACCCCCAATATCCTCGTTATTGCCTGACTGGTTATTGCAGGCCTCCCATGTCGTCGCGGTCTCCTCTTCCTCGTCGCTTCTCTCCTCCCCCTCCTCCTGCTGCTGCCACGTGTCCCTCTCCACAACCACACCGACGGCAGCAGTGCGAACGGCAGTATCACACCTTACACCCGGACGCTTTGCGAATCCGTCAACTCGTGGCGCGGGGCGATCGAAGCTCAGAAAACTACAGATATCAAATGGCAGTCAAATACAATGCAGTTGTAAGCCGTGTTTTGGTGCCATCCTTTTGAGTTGATGCCGAATTCTGCACTAGCAGCCCAGTTCAATGCAGTCGTAAGTCGTCCCTCGCAAAGCGCTCGCATCCTCCTGCCGTTCTCCTGCCGTCCACCTTCCATTCCACCTACTTCTTGTTGTAGAGGACTCTCCTCTACTTTGCAGGAACTGGGAGTTGTTCTAAACGATAGAGCTCTGTCTTAGCTTTCCAACGAGCCGTCAAACACGTCGATCGCCTAAGTATTCTCCGAGATATAGGCGTTCACGTGCTAGGTGGTGCTCTTGAATGCAAGTAAAGAAGCTCTCTGGAATTTGTGTTCGAATGTACCTTGTACAAAGAACTCTGAGTTTCACTATGAAACATGCATACAAAGCAACTAGTTTTATATCATGCAATCAACATCGAACCGCGTTCGTAACATCGCATCGCTACACTTCGCGAATGTTCTCGTAACATTTCGAAGTGGTGAAATTCGACACTCGAATTTCACTCATCCGAATGTTCCTTCAAGTCTCGAACTTTCTGGTGCTGCCATGTGGCACCGAATTGGTTGAGTCTTCCGAAGTCAATCTTCAGCCCCACGCCAACCTGCAGCTCACTCGAAGGTGAGAAGCAAAAGCAGCACCGTTCGGTGGTTGGGGGCAAAACCTAGCCCCACGCAACCTCCAACACTTCTGAGTCGACTCAAAAGCCTTCGCAAACCGCACGCATCCTTCTTCCGTCCACCTTCCGTCGACATTCAATTCCACCTACCTGCAGCACCTTCCTATCGGCCATCCTGTTTTCGGCATTTTCCCTTACCCTCTCCCCCAACCCCCTCTCTCTCCGCGCCCTTCATTCCCATCCTCACCCCGCCCACCAGTGACGCCCCCTATAGTCACAACCGCTGCGTCTTCCGCTGCAGCCGCAGCCATGGCAGCTGGGGGTAGCTCCGCTGTGACTATAGCGAGCAGCTGGTTCACGCTCTGCACGGCTGCCGTCATCCCTCTTTATATGCTCATGACCTTCGCGCCAGACTGGCACGTGGTACGCGTCTCACTCCCAACTCAATATAAGCAGCCCCTGTATGAGGTGTCTCAAACATCTGTACGGCTGCCGTCATCCCTCTTTATACGCTCATGATCTTCGCGCCAGACTGGCACGTGGTACGCTTACTTCCTGCTGCTTGCACATTGCACCACCCCACCCATCGGCACACCCCACCCCACCACACCACACCCCACCACTCCACCCGTCGCCACACCACACCACACCACACCGCACCACTTCACCCATTACCACACCAACAAGCACCACACCGCACTGCAGACGGAGAAGAGTATGAGCAGCTTGTGGCCACGCATTTTGCTCGGTTTCGTGTACCTCTACCTCCTCTACAAGTCCGGAACGCCCTATGTTTTCAGGCACCTCAAAAGACATCAACCCACCCCACCCCTCCCCACCCCACCCCACCCCAATCCCACACCACTCCATCTCACCCCACCCCACACCACAGACTGAGAAGATCATGAGCAGCTCGCTATCGAGCATTCTCCTCGCCTTCGTGTACCACTACCTGCTCTACAGGTTGTGACGCCTTTTGAGTCGCCTCTCAAAAGACACCACCACTTATCACCCCACCCCACCCCAACCCTCCCCAACCCAATCCACCCCGCCCCACCCCACACCACAGACGGAGAAGATCATGAGCAGCTCGCTGCCGAGCATTCTCCTGGGCTTCGTGTACCTCTACCTGCTCTACAAGTCGTGGACGCCCAACACGCTGCTCTACATGTTCTCCTCCAAATACTGGCTGCCCGAGGTATGAGTCCTGGGGCGCCGGAGATGCGTCCTTAAGAATGTACCTTTGCCAGCTTTTGAACACCCCACCCAGCCCATGCGCCCAACACGCTGCTCCACATGTTCTCCTCCAAGTACTGGCTGCCCGAGGTGCGTCTCTATCAGTCCCCCCTTTACGAGCTCTTGAACTCCTCTCGCGCCTCCCATGCTGCTCCATCCGCTGCCCGCTGCTTTACATGCTCTCCTCAAACTACTGGCTGCCCGAGGTGCGTCTCTATCATCCCCCCATTGGTGTGTGGAGCATTCTTCTGGGCTTCGTGTACCTCTACCTGCTCTACAAGTCGTGGACGCCCAACACGCTGCTCTACATGTTCTCCTCCAAATACTGACTGCCCGAGGTGCGTCTCTTTCGATTCTCTTTCTCATTTTCTTTCCCATCGGGTGCTAAATGTGCTGCCTGTCTAGTTGAGTGCACAAGCGTAATGTGCTGTGCTGTGCCTCTGCTCTCCCCCCCTTGGTCTCCCCCCCCACACCAGCTAGCAGGCATCACTCAGATGTTCGCCAGCACCCCCACTGTCACCTCCGCCTGTCTTCACCCACCCATCACCCACCCCTTTCCCTCCCTTGCTCTTGTTTCCTCCTTCCCCCCCCCCCCCCCCCCCTTCCCCTCTCTCCCTGCCCCCTCCTCTTCCCCCTCGTCTCTCCACCACCAGCTAGCGGGAATCACTCTGATGTTCGCCAGCACGCTCACTGTCGCCTCTGCCTGGATTCACATCTACGCACCACCCACGCCTTTCCCTTTCCCCTGCTCTTGCTTCCATCTCCCCCTCCGCCCTGGTCTCCCCACACCAGCTAGCGGGCATCACTCAGATGTTCGCCAGCACGCTCACTGTCGCCTCTGCCTGGATTCACATCTACGCACCACCCACGCCTTTCCCTTTCCCCTGCTCTTGCTTCCATCTCCCCCTCCGCCCTGGTCTCCCCACACCAGCTAGCGGGCATCACTCAGATGTTCGCCAGCACGCTCACTGTCGCCTCCGCCTGGATCCACCTGCTGGCCGTTGATCTCTTTGCCGCCAGGTGAGCTCTCAGGTGGTCTGTCAGGTGAGTCGTCATGTGGTCTGTCAGGTGAGATGTTAGGTCTGTCAGGTGAGATGTTAGGTCTGTCAGGTGAGATGTTAGGTCTGTCAGGTCAGATGTTAGGTCTGTCACGTGAGATGTTAGGTCTGTCAGGTGAGATGTTAGGTCTGTCAGGTGAGATGTTAGGTCTGTCAGGTGAGATGTTAGGTCTGTCAGGTGAGATGTTAGGTCTGTCACGTGTGATGTTAGGTCTGTCAGGTGAGATGTTAGGTCTGTCAGGTGAGACACTAGGAGGTTTACAAAGCTCTGGAAAACGACAATGAGGCGGCAGTTCTGTTGTCAGAAGCTTGCCAGGTTCAACTGATCTTTGCCCTCAGGTGATTTCTCAGAAAAATCCGTCAGGAGAGTATTCAAGGTAATTCAGGGAGCACTTCAACCCCTACACACAAGAAGTGCAGCTTCCTTCCCCCCGCCCCCCTCTCTCCCCACGGCGCGTGTATATAAATGGCGTAATCACTGTTTTCCGTCCCTCGTGCTCTGCCTCATGTTACGCCCCCTCATCCTCCTCATTCCTTCCTCCCCACTCCTCCCCCACAGGCACGTGTATCTGGACGGATTGAAGCAGAAGCTGGAGACGCGGCACTCGCTCGTGCTCTGCCTCATGTTTGGCCCTCTGGGCATCGCCGCTCACTCCCTCACCAAAACCATTGCGCAGGTAAGCCGCGTGTCAAGCCGAATCCCGAACTAGCTATGCCCATGCCTACCTTTCCATGCTCATGTTTGGCCCTCTGGGCATTGCCGCTCACTCTCACTCCCTCACCAAAACCATTGCACAGGTTAGTTCCCTGGTGTCATATCTCAAACATGATCCGTTCTGCTTCATATATGAAACTCTCCCTCTCGATCCACTCCGTTACGTGATCCTCTTACCCTCCCACCCTCCCCCCCCACAACCCCTCTCCCCCGTCTCTCCCCCCCCTCTCCCCCCACCCCCCCTCTTTCACCACCGCCATCTCTCTTCGCGATCAGATCTTTCGTCGCTCCAGGAGAAGTCGCAACGCTTCGCGGACTGTACAGGACATTCCCTCGCCTCCGTGACCCTCCCTGCTGGGATAAGCAAAAGATACAGGCATTCTTGTGGTTCCTTGTTGATAGATACTTACAAGACCCCCCCTGGGATGGAATACTCTGAGCTCCTGAAGACTACACAACACAAACTGTAGATTTACAGTGATTGGGTGCACTACACTACACTACAGTTTGTGCTGTACATCTCAATAATGAATTTACTCGTCATGAAAAATGTGCACCTTGAAAACATCTGCTACAAAGCCTGCTGCTTCTCGTGTCATGCTCCTCGCAAATTCAAAACGGTACAAGTTCACTGATAGATGCAGATGGTACAGTAGAATGCCATCATTTTGAGCCCATTACAAGCTGCATCAGAGGCATACCTACTGGTAGTCATGAAATTTTCCCCACCAACCGCTGCCGCTGCCACCGATGATGCTGCATATTCTCCTTGGTTGTCCGCTGAGCCATTTCACCCGCTTTTGAGTCGACTCAAAAGCATTTCACCCGTTATGTTTAGAATTTCAAACAACCAGATTCAGCGCCAAGCACTTCGGCAGAGAGCCTCTCACTCACTGCTGTGTTGTGGAAACATGGCTCCCTCGCACTCTCTCTGCCCTCTTTCGCTCTCTCCTGCCTTCTCTTGCACTCTCTCTCTCCGGTGCCCTCGTTAGGCCTCTGTTGCTCTCCCTTGCTCCCCCCTTGCCCTCACTTGCTCCCTCTCTCGCTCTCTCCTGCTCTCTCTTACTCCTTCTTGCTCTCTCTCTCTCTCTTGCTCTTGCTCACTCTTTCTCCCTCTTGCACTCGCTTGCTCTCACAGGCTCCCTCATGCTTGGCCTCCGTCGCTCTCTCTCGCTCCCACCTGGTTTGGGGTGCCTCAATACTCTGCCATGAGAGTCAAGGCAGCACTGATCATCAGTCGTGACAGCGGGTCCAGATTCAACGTATCGAGTCGCGCTGCAACGGTGGTGGTGATGCAGGTTCAGGTTCAAAGAACCTGGTCAGGCAGCGGCAGCAGCAACCGCAGCAGCAGCAGTGGTGGCAAGCAGGTTCGTTGAATCAGGCCGCGGATGGGGAACTTTGGAAACATTCACCCGCTCCAGGTCCAGTGAATCTGGTCAGGCAGCGGCGGTGGTGGCGCAGGTTCGTTGAATCGGGTCGTAGTTCTGCTGGAAGAGGAACTTGGTCCCAGCCAACCCCTCCAGGTTCAGTGAACCTGGTCAACCAGCGGCTGTGGATTTGATGAATCAGGTCGTAGGTCTGCTGGAAGGGGAACTTGGTCCCACCAACCCCTCCAGGTTCAGTGAATCTGGTCAACCAGCAGTGGTGGTAACGCAGGTTCGTTGAACCGGGTCATAGTTCTGCTGGATGAGGAACTTGGTCCCACCCACCCCCTCCAGGTTATACGGTGCAGCATCTGATGTGTAGGATAGGGTGCCGGTCCTGCCAGGTTTTGAGTGAAGAATGCGAATCAAAGGAAATGAAAGGAAACGAGAGGATGGAGAATTTGACGCATGGACCAGGGTTGGTCCAACCAGGACCGTCACAGCCTTCACACCACCACCCTTCAGGCCTTCCACGTTAGACGGTGCAGCATCTGATGTGTATGAGAGGCTGCCAGTCCTGGCTGGCAGGTTTGGAGGGGAAGATGTGAAGCATAGAAAATGGAGGAAAAGTGAGAAACACGTTGTTCATTAGTGCACTGCTGAGCGTCAGAGGCCATTCAGCCCTCTTCCCCACCTCTTTCCCCTTATCTACCCTCCCCCCAATCCTTCCTCCCCTTCCTGCTGCTCACCTCCAGGCACATAAGTCGGCGTTCTCCTGTCCCGAGGCATCAGAATAAATCAGCAGATAGGGGCCACTCGATTTTTGAGGCGCCTCAAAAAGGCCACTCGCCTCAAAAAGGCCACTCGCCTCAAAAAGGCCACTCGCCTCAAAAAGGCCACTCGCCTCGCCACCTCTGCCAGCTCATGAGCGAAGGTGGAGGAGAGCAGCGAGTCGAACGAAAGCTGCTACCCAAGGGTCACCCTCGCTTCCTCTGCGATTCCAAGCCCTTCCCCACCCCACATCCCCCCCCCCACCCTTTTACTCACTTCCAGGCGCATAGGTCGGCGTTCTCCTGCCCAGCTCAGCAGCGTCGTACCAATTCAGCACATACGAATCACACGTCGCCTCTGCCAGCTCGTGCGCGAAGGTGAAGAGCAGCGAGTCAAATCGAACCGCGTCTTCCCACCCCACTCCCCCCACCCCACTTCCCCCACCCCACTTCCCCCACCCCACTTCCCCCCACTCACTCACTTCCAGGCGCATATGTCGGCGTTCTCCTGCCCCAAGGCGTCGTACCAATTGGTCACATACGGGTCACTCGTCGCCTCTGCCAGCTCGTGCGCGAAGGTGGAGAGCAGCGAGTCGAACGACTTATCGCTGTTGGGGCTGTCGTTGAATGCAAAGGCAGCGAGCCAGCAGCTGCTGGGGCACTGGGCAAATGGAGATGGGGGATGGAAGGGGGGATTGGGGAGCAGCGAGTCGAACGACTTATCGCTGTTGGGGCTGTCGTTGAAGGCAAAGGCAGCGAGCCAACAGCTGCTGGGGCACTGGGAGAGTGGGAGAGGGATGAAGAAATGGTTTATTGAGGGGTAGTGGCGAGGGATGGGGAAAAGGTTGAGTGAGGGGTAGAGGAGAGAAATAGGCTGGCAACATGAGCCACCTTGACAAGCTTCTTCTGGCCTCAGCACTCTCTGACAACTTTCTCACCACTCTCAACCCTATCTAACCACTCTCAACCCTCTCTAACCACTCTCAACCCTCTCTAACCACTCTCAACCCTCTCTAACCACTCTCAACCCTCCGTCACCACGCACCTTGACAGGGCTACCCACATAAGCCACTTTGATAAGCTTCTTTCGAATCCGCACAAAGTCGTGCCACCCGCAGTAAGCGCTGCACATGGCTCCTTCATTGTCCCGCTGTAGGGGGGGAAGAAAATGTGAGGCGTAGGATGGAAGCATGGGCGAAGGGAGGTGAGTACGAAGCAGTAATCATGGGGGGAAGCAAGTGTGGGGACGTGAGTTTGATAAGCGGTTTCTGAATCCTCACAAAGTCGTGCCACCCGCAGTAAGTGCTGCACATGGCGCCCTCATTGTCCCTCTGTTTGGGGGGGAAGCTATGTGAGGTGAGGAGAGGTGAGGGGATAAACATAGGAGGAAGTGAGGAGCACTGCACATGGCGCCCTAGCTGTCCCTCTGTTGGGAGAGGGAGGAGAGAGGTGAGAGAAGCAGCGGTGAGAATGTGGAGATTATTGAGTGGAGAGGTGAGTGGGGAAGTGAGCGTGCCTGCCGCAGCACGCTCTGCGCTGCACATGGCGCCCTGGCTGTCCCTCTGGTGGGAGAGGGAGGAGAGAGGTGAGAGAAGCATTGCACTGCACTGCACCGCACTGCACTGCACTGCACATGGCCCCCTTGCTGTCCCTCTGTTGGGAGAGGGAGGAGAGAGGTGAGAGAAGCATTGCACTGCACTGCACCGCACTGCACTGCACTGCACATGGCCCCCTTGCTGTCCCTCTGTTGGGAGAGGGAGGAGAGAGGTGAGAGAAGCATTGCACTGCACTGCACTGCACCGCACCGCACTGCACTGCACATGGCGCCCTGGCTGTCCCTCTGGTGGGAGCAAAGGAAGGCGAACGTAGGAGGTGAGTATGGTGGGGTAAGCATGGGGAGGTGAGAGGGGGGAAATGAGTACACTCCATCGCCAATAATAAAGTACACTCCATCCTCATCAAGGCGGAAACGTGTCCCTCTTCACCCTCATAAAGCCATCACACCCATCACCACCGCACCGCACCTCCGGATCAGACACACCTGAGCCACACTCCCATCGCCAATAACAAAGTACACTCCATCCTCATTAAGGGGAGGGAAACGCACCGCCCAAAAACCTCTTCTTCATCACCAGCCTTACTGTGACCACCAAACCCACCACCACCGCACCCCACCTCTACGCACCTGAGCCACACTCCCATCGCCAATAAGAAAGTACCCTCCATCCTCATTAAGGGGAGGGAAACGCACCGCCCAAAAACCTCTTCTTCATCATCAGCCTTACTGTGACCACCAAACCCACCACCACCGCACCCCACCTCTACGCACCTGAGCCACACTCCCATCGCCAATAACAAAGTACCCTCCATGCTCATCAAGGGGAGGGAAACGCACCGCCCAAAAACCTCTTCTTCATCACCAGCCTTACTCTGACCACCAAACCCACCACCACCGCACCCCACCTCTACGCACCTGAGCAACGCTCCCATCGCCAATCACAAAGTACACTCCATCCTCGTCAAGGGGAAACGAGCCAGCCTTCACCCGCGTCTTCACCACCCGGCGAATCGACTTGAGCCCAAACAGCAGCTTGAGGGGGCGCCTCACAGAGGAGGAGACGTAGCGGCCATAGCAGTCGTAATACAAAGTGTTGGTTCGCCACCAGTCAGCGACTGTTGGGGGAGGAGAGGGAGAAAAAGACGCAGTTTTCCTTTGCCCACGTGCTGGTCCCTTGCCAGAGTCACAGAGGAGGAGGCATAATGGCCATTGCAGTCGTAATAGAGGGTGTTGGTTCGCCACCAGTCAGGTGATAATAAGAGTGTTTTGAGACGTCTTGAGACGTGATAATAAGAGTGTTTTGAGACGTCTCAAAACACCTTGTCAGAGTCACAGACGAAGAGACATAACGGCCATTGCAGTCGTAATAGAGGGTGTTGGTTCGCCACCAGTCAGCGACTGTAGGCACGGGGAGGGGGTGGGAGAGGGAATGAGGGAGGCACAGAGGGGGGGCTCAGTAACTCACGTGGTGCTCCTTTGCTAAGATTACAGAGGAGGGAGGAGACAGGGCGGCCGTTGCAGTCGTAATAGAGGTGTTGGTTGGTTCGCCACCAGTCAGCGACTGTAGGCACGGGGAGGGGGTGGGAGAGGGAATGAGGGAGGCACAGAGGGGGGGCTCAGTAACACACGTGGTGCTCCTTTGGGCAGGCGGACAGAGGAGGAGACGTAGCGGCCATTGCAGTCATAATAGAGGTTGTTGGTTCGCCACCAGTTAGAGACTGTTGGGGGGGGTTGTGGAGAAGGGGAAGGGGGAAGGGAGGGAGACACGTGATTGTCCTTTGCACACGTGGGAAGGCAGGCACGAGGGGGATTAAAATATATATATACATATATATTATTAATATCAGGGAAAGGACGAGGGGATTTGGATTCTAAAATGCTGGCCTTCAGTGCTGATAAGACTAATAAGACTATCAACTGCTTGTATGAGGCACTTCGAGTTGAGAGGACCCACCTGTGCCTTCAGTGCTGCTGCCTTGAACAACTCTCTCACCTGTGCCTTCAGTGCTGCTGCCTTGAACAACTCTCTCACCTGTGCCTTCAGTGCTGCTGCCTTGAACAACTCTCTCACCTGTGCCTTCAGTGCTGCTGCCTTGAACAACTCTCTCACCTGTGCCTTCAGTGCTGCTGCCTTGAACAACTCTCTCACCTGTGCCTTCAGTGCTGCTGCCTTGAACAACTCTCTCACCTGTGCCTTCAGTGCTGCTGAAGGAGCGGATGAAAGTTCGGAGAAGGTTCTTTTGGGCGTCGGAGAAGCTTCTGTACCACACGAGGTAGACGCGGATAGGGTTGTGCATTACCCCGCACCACTTGGGGTCCTTTGCGCAAACACCCTGCCCGCAGTAGGATTTTATTTCTGGGCCCAAGTCTGACGGGATGACTGGCAATTGACTGGAGTTTGGGCAGTGGGGAGGGAAGAAAAAGCGACTAATATGTTTTTTTCCTTGAAAATTTATTCGCATGGAGAAAACCTGAGAGAATGAGGGCGAGAGGGGGGCACCAAGGAGGAAGGGGGGGAGGGAGTGGGGCGTAGGGGGAGAGCAGCGAAGGGAGAATGGGGCGAAGGGGGGATGGGGCGAAGGGGGGATGGGGCGAAGGGGGGGTGGGGCATACCTGGGAGAGCGAGTGGCAGTGGGAGCAACGTTGTTGGGCCTGAGTCTGACGGAGGTTGGATCGGAGGTGAAGGGCTGCTTGAACCTGTCTTGCATCGCTCTCCTTGAACGCTCGAAACTGCTGTTGCTGCTTCTAATGCGTCTGCCGCCGATGCCTCTAAAAGGTGGAGATATTGAATCGACGCTGCTTCTGAGAGTGCGGTTTAGATGCAAGCGGGGCCAAGCCGTTCGAACCAAACCATAAGCGAAACGTCTGGTGTGTGGGGCGCCGCGGGCGTGAGGGTCTCTGGGATGATCAGCCGTTGAACGGGTGCGGTTCAGATGCAAACGGGGCCAAGCCGTTGGGTCCAATCTAAAGGACGAACGTCTGGTGTGTGGGGTGCCGCGGACAGGAAGATCTCTGGGATGATCAGCTGCGTTATAAGCAGACTCGATAGAAGTGGATGGCGTGGAGGGCGATTCGGTGAGAGAAGGCGCGTTAGAAGCAGCAGCCACGATAGCAGCGCACGACAATAAACAGAAGATCTGGTACGGGGAGAGGGAAATATCATCGGGAAAGGCAAAGGGAGGAGAAAGACGAACTCGGAGGACGGGGGAGGGGGCGGGGGAGATATAGGGGACGGAAGTGGACGCATATGGGGAGGCTACAATCTCGTGAAAACTTTTTCGTAACACACCCATTTGAAAACGGAGATGCCTGATAGGCCGGACGAAAGGTAAATGCATTCGCGATTATGAAACGACAAACACTACGATTCCAGTCAGACGACGCGTACGTTGTGCAACGGTCGCGGCGGGTGGCGAAATCTCGACCGTACTCGTCGCTTCATCGCGCAACTGTGGAGTTGAAGGGAGAATTCCCAAGCCATAGCCGTACGTCTGAAAATAAAATCGGACGCGCGACACGGTCAGTCATACATCCGTCAATCGGCACGTTTGCCTGTTCTGAATCTCACATAGAACCGGTAAAACAGTTCTTAGAGTGGACCAGAGTCGGAGGTGGACGGAGACAGACGGGGACTGACGGAAACAGTTGGAGACAGTTCAAGAAAGACGAAGAAAGACGGAGACGAGAGAGACGAAAAACGAGCTGGAGTCAAATTAGCGCGACGTGTCTTGAAGGTGCGTACATTCGCAAGACTACAACTGCTGAAGCTTTCCACTCGCTCGTCGGAACCCGAACCGACAAGGAATCTGGTTTCGCGGCTCAGAATAGCACGAATATTCGACGAAGCATTGTTCCAGGTTGCGGCTAGAGGTAATGTAGGAAGTAGGCGTTCCAAGAAGCCACTGGAATACGGCAATTGAAGACAGCAACCACCAACAACTACCTACCAACCACGGGGACGCAAGACTAAGGCATGAGTCAAGCCATTCCCTCACCACGAACTGGACCAGCGAGCACACTGCTATGCTGGTACTACAGCAGAGCCTTGCCAAATTCATTATGTCCACAATTGCTGATCCGACCGCGTCACCGAACCCAGACCAACCCAACCCAACCCAACCACCCCAGCACTACAGAATTCTGATAATGCCTGAGTCAAGTCGAGTGATTCCTCTTTCCCCTTCCGCCTCTCCCCCTCTTCCCCATGGCCCTTTCCTCCACCTTTTCCCCCTCCCCAGACCCCTCTCCGCTTCATTCCCCCCAAAACCTTCCTTTCCCCCCACTCCCCCCCTCCCCCCTCCAGGTCTCTCCCTTTTCCCCTGCTGCTTCTCTTGACAGTGGTCAGGTTGCGATCGCCAAATTTTGTTGGCCCGCCAGGCCCGCTTGCCCGCCTGGCTCACCGCCAGACCTGCCACCGATGAAAACATACGGCTCGTTGTGACCACACACCACCCCCCAACCAGAGCAAACACTGACGAGGGTAACAAAAGTTTGCGAACGCGCAATCGCCATGGCAGCAGTGAGCCTTGACCAGCGGGCAATCTTGTCTGGCGACCCCTGTCTGGAAGCTTGGCTTGATATATAGCAGGCTCGGTAAACGGGCTGATAACCAAGTTTGCCATTAAAAAAATGCTTTAGCCTCCCTGACACATTGTCGCCTCAAGATGTAACTCGCCAATATTTTCGTTAGTACTTTCGTCCGCAGAAGATCTTTCTCCATCCGTTTCGCCGCCAACTCGGGAATTTCGCACGCATCAGTTTCGCCGCCAGTTCGAAAATCTGATATTCTCGTGGCGCGTTTGCAGGAACAAGGTGCCTCTTGAGTGGACTCAAGAGCTGACTTTCAGTAGAGTCAAAAGAACAAGGCAACCTCTGAGGAGACGCAAATGTCGGAACAAGGCGTCCAGTGGTTACAGAATTTGCCTTGCCCAAGCCAGTCAGCACCACCACACCGAAACAAGCACGCCCACAACAACCCACCCAATCCAGCCCATTCCCCATTGCCCCCACCACATCCAACCGTTGAGCCATGTGAGCAAAACAGATCCATCGCCGTAGCCAAGACAAACAACCCCAAGCCCATCACATCACATCACATCACATCAACAAACTAATCTCAAGGTCGAGGCGCAACCGAAGTTTGCTTGCTCTCACTCCCTCCGCCTTTCAGAAAAGCCTTCCCGCCGCATCGAGCTGTCGGCAGGGGAACAACCACCAGCAACAAATCCCATGTTGCAGCAATGCCGCGTCGCTTTCCCCGCATCTCGCGTGATAGACAAGAGGGGTCCAATTTTTTAGACGGAGGCCAGGTTGGTGCAAGTGGGCCGTCGGCCGAAACTGCCGATGACAACCGCTGCAAGTGTTCGCGTCTCGGCAAGGGAAGAGCAAAGCTGCAGAACAGAGCCCATTCTTCGATAGGCTATTGCGGACAGTGATAACCCGTTGAATCAGATGGACATATCGCGCCGACAGGAATATGACAGGCTATCACGCACAGCTTATTACTACTTATCCTCCAAAAATCGCTGCAAACATGTGTCCTTTCCGCATATCATTCGATTTCGTATCAGAGGCTTTAGCAGAACCTCCAGCAACCACGTCCAGGCACCATGATCCAGCCTATTACTACTAACAGCAAGTTCGTCAGCAAGTTTTGCTTCAACAGGCACACTGCCACTTCGCCACGCACGAGGCTCTCTAGACCTTACCGCCTCGCATTTCTGCTTCTCGTTTGTGGCCTCGTTTTAATATTCGCGCCTTGGGCTAGTACCAGGCTCAATCGCCATGTTCAATTCCATGAACGCCTGGACTTGCTCCGACCTGGGAAGGTGTTTGAGTTTCACAGGCGACAGCTGCTCTCGCCACAGGCGCCGCCATCATTGACCTCGTTACAGTCAGCGTCAGAATCTGTAACCTGGTTACCGTCCACGTTCGCCAGATCCGTTTTCAGGGCGTTCCTTACTTCGGCACAGCCTCGTCCGTCGACTAATTCAACAGAAGGGAATGACGACGCCGACTCTGAGGCTAATAATAACACATCGGATTCAGCGGCGTACACGAATTTGAGTCCTCTGCATATGCGTCGCCACGTCGGACGAGACTACTTCGAGCCAAATGTCGCACTCCAGGACGCGACACGTGGCAGCAACGGAAAGCGAAGTCAAACGTCGGAGGATCATCACAAGAGCAACGGCGGAAACGGGTTTCCCGTCTACAACGACGGGAGTAGCAGCAAGAGCACTAACAACCAACTCGAAGTCTGCGTGGCTATAGCTTCGATGCCACGTGTCTTTCCAGAACGACGCAAGCTGCCACCGTGGCACTTCCCAGTGTCTCTTCTTGAGTTGCTGGAACAGCGACGGTCTCCGTCTAACATGTCTGGCGGCTTTAAAGACATGAACGTCGTGGTCTACAGCTCTGGCTGCGACGAAAAACGGGCAATTCTACAGCGCCTCAAGGAACAAGCCGTGACACGCGCAGCGTCAGACACAAGCGCTTCGGAGGAGGACCTGCGGCCTACTACGACGATTAGAAGCCTTCGTGACGGCGCGACGCTGCGCCACGTGGAATCGCCTAAGGAGCCGGTACCAACTCCTCAGGGAGATTTGGAAGAACGAAAGGAGACGATGGCGGCAGTTGTGCATGAAAAAGCTCTCAGATTGGCTGGACGAGAATCGTCTCTGAATATAACAGTGTTACCATCTCGGCGAGATGCGTGCGACTTCGTTCATGAAGACGAGGAGGAGTTGCGAAAGTTGGGCGTGACGAACGAGGTGGCCAGCGACGGCTGGAAATCCTGGCGATGGCGAACGAAGCTGGTAATGGATTTCGTCTACGTGATGCGACAGTGCATGGCGACGAAACCGAAATACATCCTGCTGCTGCAGGACGACACAAGGCCAGCCCGGCTCTACGACATCGGTATCGAGAAATTCATTAACGAGGACATGAAGGATAAGGAGTGGACGGTCATATCGCTTTACTATCCCGAATCGTACCTCTGGCCATATGATCATGGCGACGAATATCTAATTCCCTGCTGCGCTCAGGCTCTGCTTTTCAACGTATCGGCGCTCGAAGACCTGCTAGGGTTTGTGGAGGAACATTTCACCGAGGCTCCTATGGATTGGCTCTTAAACAAATACCTAACTAGTGCCAACCGGACGGGATATGTGCACGTGCCGTCGCTATTTCAACACGTCGGCGATGTGCGGACCAAAGCGCCAGGAGTCTCTTCGCGCCTGCATCGGGACCGGCGCTTTCATGACGACGATGTGGTTAATCTACTGAGGGCAGCTGGATCAACGGATATTCTCGAGGCTGCGGGCTATGGGGGAGATGGCAGGATTGATATCGGAGAAAGCGCTGCAGAGGCGGAACTTCTGCAGCAACTCTTCAAGGCATACCCGAAAGAAGCCTTAGGTAATCCGTTACTAGCACCTGAGACTAAGTAAATCCTGGTCCTCCTGTGCTGTATATATTGAGAAGCATAATAACGTAAACTGACAAGTTTACAAGCCATTTTCATATTGTTATGTAGGCCCATGTTGACAGTTGTGAGTTCCTGTAAGACATTTATACAACGTACTTAATATGTACAGATGTAGCATAGTAATCTAGGACCTGGAAATCAAAGCAATGGAGGAGACTGACGTAATGTGGTCCGCTGACGAGGCTGAGGTCCAGCTGTATATATGACTGCTTCCTTGCGCTCAGCTGTTACTTCCTGGCCTGGAAATTGCATTTATAATGAAGAACAATAACATATGGGAAGATTGTAGATTGAAATGTGGGGTGCATGACCGTGTGGGCAAACAGAAATTGGGGTTAGTTTCTGATGGGTTTTATTTTTTTCGTGGCCGGGTGTTGTGGTATGTGTAGAGCAAATGTTTTCGCTTGCCGCCGTGGCAGCTTTGTGAGCCTTGACCAATGGGGCATCTTGTCTGGCGGCGGTCCTTGTTGCGGGCATGGCATGAGAAGAAATGGACATGCTGGGCAAATGGACAGGCTGGGCAAACGGCCAGGTTGCCACTTAAAACCGGGGTGCACATTCAGCTGAATGTGCATCAAAGGTTATCCCTTGACTGAGTGGGTTACGAGGTGTGCTTTCAACCCCTTCAAGTCGAAATTCGTTTCCCCCCTCCCCCGCAATTTCGTTTCCCCACGCCCCCGCAATTTCATTTCCCCCTCCCCGGCGAAATTCGTTTCCCCCCTCCCCCGCAATTTTGTTTCCCCCCTCCCCCGCAATTTCGTTTCCCCCCCCTCCCGCCAATCTGTTTCATCCCTCCCGCCA